CCACTGCCCTCTCATCCAATCCTGTACAAACAACCCCCACTGCTACGCTCGCCACATCACTGTCCCAAACAACAGCTGCAAGCTCGGCCTCTCCAGTGCCTACTCTTGTTGAAACAACTACCTTTCCCTCCTCAGCATCTCAAACATCCAGCAAAGCAGAAGAAACGACCACTGCACTCACATCTAGCCCAACTGCTGCATCTTCGGCTCAAACAGCTACAAGCTCTCCTCAAGAGACTACATCCTCGCAAAACACCTCCCCACTTACGTCCACCTCTTCCCCTGCAACAAGCCCATCTCCTACAAACACCTCACCAGCTGCTCTAACCACTGCTCAGCAGAACACTTCTCCAGCTCAGAGTGAAACCGCACCATCCTCGGCCCTAACAACAACCTCCTCTTCAACACTCACTACGACTTCACCGCTCTACACCAGCGCTACTGTCTCCTCCACACCTATACAAACAACCACCACTGCTACCCAAGCAACATCTGCTCCTGACACTACAATTACCAGCTCTTCCACTCCAACAGAAACTACGGCACTGTCGACAACCACCACAGTTCCCTCAACTATGCAAGACATCTCCAGCCAGCCTGCTGAAACGTCCACCGCTGCAACATCCAGCACAGCTATCCCAGCCACTTCTGCTCTGCTCACAAGCACCAATGCAGGCCCCACTACTTCCACCACCATCTTCACTTCACGTACGAGCACCTCTGCATCTCTGACAAGCACACCAGGCGCTACCACGTTGCCTCTTGCACCCACCACTGCTCAGGAGACCACTTCTGCAGCTGGGACGACATCTACAAATACACCCACCTCTACCCACGCAAAAACCTCTACCTCTACACTCACTACCACTCCACTACAAGACACAACCACTGCCCTCTCATCCAATCCTGTACAAACCACCCCCACTGCTACCCTCGCCACATCACTGTCCCAAACAACAGCTGCAAGCTCGGCCTCTCCAGTGCCTACTCTTGTTGAAACAACTACCTTTCCCTCCTCAGCATCTCAAACATCCAGCAAAGCAGAAGAAACGACCACTGCACTCACATCTAGCCCAACTGCTGCATCTTCGGCTCAAACAGCTACAAGCTCTCCTCAAGAGACTACATCCTCGCAAAACACCTCCCCACTTACGTCCACCTCTTCCCCTGCAACAAGCCCATCTCCTACAAACACCTCACCAGCTGCTCTAACCACTGCTCAGCAGAACACTTCTCCAGCTCAGAGTGAAACCGCACCATCCTCGGCCCTAACAACAACCTCCTCTTCAACACTCACTACGACTTCACCGCTCTACACCAGCGCTACTGTCTCCTCCACACCTATACAAACAACCACCACCGCTACCCAAGCAACATCTGCTCCTGACACTACAATTACCAGCTCTTCCACTCCAACAGAAACTACGGCACTGTCGACAACCACCACAGTTCCCTCAACTATGCAAGACATCTCCAGCCAGCCTGCTGAAACGTCCACCGCTGCAACATCCAGCACAGCTATCACAGCCACTTCTGCTCTGCTCACAAGCACCAATGCAGGCCCCACTACTTCCACCACCATCTTCACTTCACGTACGAGCACCTCTGCATCTCTGACAAGCACACCAGGCGCTACCACGTCACCTCCTGCACCCACCACTGCTCAGGAGACCACTTCTGCAGCTGGAACGACATCTACAAATACACCCACCTCTACCCACCCAAAAACCTCTACCTCTACACTCACTACCACTCCACTACAAGACACAACCACTGCCCTCTCATCCAATCCTGTACAAACAACCCCCACTGCTACCCTCGCCACATCACTGTCCCAAACAACAGCTGCAAGCTCAGCCTCTCCAGTGCCTACTCTTGTTGAAACAACTACCTTTCCCTCCTCAGCATCTGAAACATCCAGCAAAGCAGAAGAAACGACCACTGCACTCACATCTAGCCCAACTGCTGCATCTTCGGCTCAAACAGCTACAAGCTCTCCTCAAGAGACTACATCCTCGCAAAACACCTCCCCACTTACGTCCACCTCTTCCCCTGCAACAAGCCCATCTCCTACAAACACCTCACCAGCTGCTCTAACCACTGCTCAGCAGAACACTTCTCCAGCTCAGAGTGAAACCGCACCATCCTCGGCCCTAACAACAACCTCCTCTTCAACACTCACTACGACTTCACCGCTCTACACCAGCGCTACTGTCTCCTCCACACCTATACAAACAACCACCACCGCTACCCAAGCAACATCTGCTCCTGACACTACAATTACCAGCTCTTCCACTCCAACAGAAACTACGGCACTGTCGACAACCACCACAGTTCCCTCAACTATGCAAGACATCTCCAGCCAGCCTGCTGAAACGTCCACCGCTGCAACATCCAGCACAGCTATCACAGCCACTTCTGCTCTGCTCACAAGCACCAATGCAGGCCCCACTACTTCCACCACCATCTTCACTTCACGTACGAGCACCTCTGCATCTCTGACAAGCACACCAGGCGCTACCACGTCACCTCCTGCACCCACCACTGCTCAGGAGACCACTTCTGCAGCTGGGAAGACATCTACAAATACACCCACCTCTACCCACCCAAAAACCTCTACCACTACACTCACTACCACTCCACTACAAGACACAACCACTGCCCTCTCATCCAATCCTGTACAAACAACCCCCACTGCTACCCTCGCCACATCACTGTCCCAAACAACAGCTGCAAGCTCGGCCTCTCCAGTGCCTACTCTTGTTGAAACAACTACCTTTCCCTCCTCAGCATCTGAAACATCCAGCAAAGCAGAAGAAACGACCACTGCACTCACATCTAGCCCAACTGCTGCATCTTCGGCTCAAACAGCTACAAGCTCTCCTCAAGAGACTACATCCTCGCAAAACACCTCCCCACTTACGTCCACCTCTTCCCCTGCAACAAGCCCATCTCCTACAAACACCTCACCAGCTGCTCTAACCACTGCTCAGCAGAACACTTCTCCAGCTCAGAGTGAAACCGCACCATCCTCGGCCCTAACAACAACCTCCTCTTCAACACTCACTACGACTTCACCGCTCTACACCAGCGCTACTGTCTCCTCCACACCTATACAAACAACCACCACCGCTACCCAAGCAACATCTGCTCCTGACACTACAATTACCAGCTCTTCCACTCCAACAGAAACTACGGCACTGTCGACAACCACCACAGTTCCCTCAACTATGCAAGACATCTCCAGCCAGCCTGCTGAAACGTCCACCGCTGCAACATCCAGCACAGCTATCACAGCCACTTCTGCTCTGCTCACAAGCACCAATGCAGGCCCCACTACTTCCACCACCATCTTCACTTCACGTACGAGCACCTCTGCATCTCTGACAAGCACACCAGGCGCTACCACGTTGCCTCTTGCACCCACCACTGCTCAGGAGACCACTTCTGCAGCTGGGACGACATCTACAAATACACCCACCTCTACCCACCCAAAAACCTCTACCTCTACACTCACTACCACTCCACTACAAGACACAACCACTGCCCTCTCATCCAATCCCGTACAAACAACCCCCACTGCTACCCTCGCCACATCACTGTCCCAAACAACAGCTGCAAGCTCGGCCTCTCCAGTGCCTACTCTTGTTGAAACAACTACCTTTCCCTCCTCAGCATCTCAAACATCCAGCAAAGCAGAAGAAACGACCACTGCACTCACATCTAGCCCAACTGCTGCATCTTCGGCTCAAACAGCTACAAGCTCTCCTCAAGAGACTACATCCTCGCAAAACACCTCCCCACTTACGTCCACCTCTTCCCCTGCAACAAGCCCATCTCCTACAAACACCTCACCAGCTGCTCTAACCACTGCTCAGCAGAACACTTCTCCAGCTCAGAGTGAAACCGCACCATCCTCGGCCCTAACAACAACCTCCTCTTCAACACTCACTACGACTTCACCGCTCTACACCAGCGCTACTGTCTCCTCCACACCTATACAAACAACCACCACCGCTACCCAAGCAACATCTGCTCCTGACACTACAATTACCAGCTCTTCCACTCCAACAGAAACTACGGCACTGTCGACAACCACCACAGTTCCCTCAACTATGCAAGACATCTCCAGCCAGCCTGCTGAAACGTCCACCGCTGCAACATCCAGCACAGCTATCACAGCCACTTCTGCTCTGCTCACAAGCACCAATGCAGGCCCCACTACTTCCACCACCATCTTCACTTCACGTACGAGCACCTCTGCATCTCTGACAAGCACACCAGGCGCTACCACGTCACCTCCTGCACCCACCACTGCTCAGGAGACCACTTCTGCAGCTGGAACGACATCTACAAATACACCCACCTCTACCCACCCAAAAACCTCTACCTCTACACTCACTACCACTCCACTACAAGACACAACCACTGCCCTCTCATCCAATCCTGTACAAACCACCCCCACTGCTACCCTCGCCACATCACTGTCCCAAACAACAGCTGCAAGCTCGGCCTCTCCAGTGCCTACTCTTGTTGAAACAACTACCTTTCCCTCCTCAGCATCTGAAACATCCAGCAAAGCAGAAGGAACAACCACTGCACTCACATCTAGCCCAACTGCTGCATCTTCGGCTCAAACAGCTACAAGCTCTCCTCAAGAGACTACATCCTCGCAAAACACCTCCCCACTTACGTCCACCTCTTCCCCTGCAACAAGCCCATCTCCTACAAACACCTCACCAGCTGCTCTAACCACTGCTCAGCAGAACACTTCTCCAGCTGAGAGTGAAACCGCACCATCCTCGGCCCTAACAACAACCTCCTCTTCAACACTCACTACGACTTCACCGCTCTACACCAGCGCTACTGTCTCCTCCACACCTATACAAACAACCACCACTGCTACCCAAGCAACATCTGCTCCTGACACTACAATTACCAGCTCTTCCACTCCAACAGAAACTACGGCACTGTCGACAACCACCACAGTTCCCTCAACTATGCAAGACATCTCCAGCCAGCCTGCTGAAACGTCCACCGCTGCAACATCCAGCACAGCTATCACAGCCACTTCTGCTCTGCTCACAAGCACCAATGCAGGCCCCACTACTTCCACCACCATCTTCACTTCACGTACGAGCACCTCTGCATCTCTGACAAGCACACCAGGCGCTACCACAACGCCTCTTGCACCCACCACTGCTCAGGAGACCACTTCTGCAGCTGGGACGACATCTACAAATACACCCACCACTACACACCCAAAAACCTCTACCTCTACACTCACTACCACTCCACTGCAGAACAGAACTGCAGATGTCCTTGGAAAAATTGCGGAGACAACATCCACTGCTATCCTTGCCACAACACCATCCCAAACAACAGCTGCAAGCTCGGCCTCTCCAGTGCCTACTCTTGTTGAAACAACTACCTTTCCCTCCTCAGCATCTCAAACATCCAGCAAAGCAGAAGAAACAACCACTGCACTCACATCTAGCCCAACTGCTGCATCTTCGGCTCAAACAGCTACAAGCTCTCCTCAAGAGACTACATCCTCGCAAAACACCTCCCCACTTACGTCCACCTCTTCCCCTGCAACAAGCCCATCTCCTACAAACACCTCACCAGCTGCTCTAACCACTGCTCAGCAGAACACTTCTCCAGCTGAGAGTGAAACCGCACCATCCTCGGCCCTAACAACAACCTCCTCTTCAACACTCACTTCGACTTCACCGCTCTACACCAGCGCTACTGTCTCCTCCACACCTATACAAACAACCACCACCGCTACCCAAGCAACATCTGCTCCTGACACTACAATTACCAGCTCTTCCACTCCAACAGAAACTACGGCACTGTCGACAACCACCACAGTTCCCTCAACTATGCAAGACATCTCCAGCCAGCCTGCTGAAACGTCCACCGCTGCAACATCCAGCACAGCTATCACAGCCACTTCTGCTCTGCTCACAAGCACCAATGCAGGCCCCACTACTTCCACCACCATCTTCACTTCACGTACGAGCACCTCTGCATCTCTGACAAGCACACCAGGCGCTACCACGTCACCTCCTGCACCCACCACTGCTCAGGAGACCACTTCTGCAGCTGGAACGACATCTACAAATACACCCACCTCTACCCACCCAAAAACCTCTACCTCTACACTCACTACCACTCCACTACAAGACACAACCACTGCCCTCTCATCCAATTCTGTACAAACAACCCCCACTGCTACGCTCGCCACATCACTGTCCCAAACAACAGCTGCAAGCTCGGCCTCTCCAGTGCCTACTCTTGTTGAAACAACTACCTTTCCCTCCTCAGCATCTCAAACATCCAGCAAAGCAGAAGAAACGACCACTGCACTCACATCTAGCCCAACTGCTGCATCTTCGGCTCAAACAGCTACAAGCTCTCCTCAAGAGACTACATCCTCGCAAAACACCTCCCCACTTACGTCCACCTCTTCCCCTGCAACAAGCCCATCTCCTACAAACACCTCACCAGCTGCTCTAACCACTGCTCAGCAGAACACTTCTCCAGCTCAGAGTGAAACCGCACCATCCTCGGCCCTAACAACAACCTCCTCTTCAACACTCACTACGACTTCACCGCTCTACACCAGCGCTACTGTCTCCTCCACACCTATACAAACAACCACCACTGCTACCCAAGCAACATCTGCTCCTGACACTACAATTACCAGCTCTTCCACTCCAACAGAAACTACGCCACTGTCGACAACCACCACAGTTCCCTCAACTATGCAAGACATCTCCAGCCAGCCTGCTGAAACGTCCACCGCTGCAACATCCAGCACAGCTATCCCAGCCACTTCTGCTCTGCTCACAAGCACCAATGCAGGCCCCACTACTTCCACCACCATCTTCACTTCACGTACGAGCACCTCTGCATCTCTGACAAGCACACCAGGCGCTACCACAACGCCTCTTGCACCCACCACTGCACAGGAGACCACTTCTGCAGCTGGGACGACATCTACAAATACACCCACCACTACACACCCAAAAACCTCTACCTCTACACTCACTAGCACTCCACTGCAGAACAGAACTGCAGATGTCCTTGGAAAAATTGCGGAGACAACATCCACTGCTATCCTTGCCACAACACCATCCCAAACAACAGCTGCAAGCTCGGCCTCTCCAGTGCCTACTCTTGTTGAAACAACTACCTTTCCCTCCTCAGCATCTGAAACATCCAGCAAAGCAGAAGAAACAACCACTGCACTCACATCAAGACCTACTGCTGCAACTTCTGCTCAAACAGCTACAAGCTCTCCTCAAGAGACTACATCCTCGCAAAACACCTCCCCACTTACGTCCACCTCTTCCCCTGCAACAAGCCCATCTCCTACAAACACCTCACCAGCTGCTCTAACCACTGCTCAGCAGAACACTTCTCCAGCTGAGAGTGAAACCGCACCATCCTCGGCCCTAACAACAACCTCCTCTTCAACACTCACTACGACTTCACCGCTCTACACCAGCGCTACTGTCTCCTCCACACCTATACAAACAACCACCACCGCTACCCAAGCAACATCTGCTCCTGACACTACAATTACCAGCTCTTCCACTCCAACAGAAACTACGGCACTGTCGACAACCACCACAGTTCCCTCAACTATGCAAGACATCTCCAGCCAGCCTGCTGAAACGTCCACCGCTGCAACATCCAGCACAGCTATCCCAGCCACTTCTGCTCTGCTCACAAGCACCAATGCAGGCCCCACTACTTCCACCACCATCTTCACTTCACGTACGAGCACCTCTGCATCTCTGACAAGCACACCAGGCGCTACCACGTCACCTCCTGCACCCACCACTGCTCAGGAGACCACTTCTGCAGCTGGAACGACATCTACAAATACACCCACCTCTACCCACCCAAAAACCTCTACCACTACACTCACTACCACTCCACTACAAGACACAACCACTGCCCTCTCATCCAATCCTGTACAAACAACCCCCACTGCTACCCTCGCCACATCACTGTCCCAAACAACAGCTGCAAGCTCGGCCTCTCCAGTGCCTACTCTTGTTGAAACAACTACCTTTCCCTCCTCAGCATCTCAAACATCCAGCAAAGCAGAAGAAACGACCACTGCACTCACATCTAGCCCAACTGCTGCATCTTCGGCTCAAACAGCTACAAGCTCTCCTCAAGAGACTACATCCTCGCAAAACACCTCCCCACTTACGTCCACCTCTTCCCCTGGAACAAGCCCATCTCCTACAAACACCTCACCAGCTGCTCTAACCACTGCTCAGCAGAACACTTCTCCAGCTCAGAGTGAAACCGCACCATCCTCGGCCCTAACAACAACCTCCTCTTCAACACTCACTACGACTTCACCGCTCTACACCAGCGCTACTGTCTCCTCCACACCTATACAAACAACCACCACCGCTACCCAAGCAACATCTGCTCCTGACACTGCAATTACCGGCTCTTCCACTCCAACAGAAACTACGGCACTGTCGACAACCACCACAGTTCCCTCAACTATGCAAGACATCTCCAGCCAGCCTGCTGAAACGTCCACCGCTGCAACATCCAGCACAGCTATCACAGCCACTTCTGCTCTGCTCACAAGCACCAATGCAGGCCCCACTACTTCCACCACCATCTTCACTTCACGTACGAGCACTTCTGCATCTCTGACAAGCACACCAGGCGCTACCACGTCGCCTCCTGCACCCACCACTGCTCAGGAGACCACTTCTGCAGCTGGGACGCCATATACAAATACTTCCACCACTACCCACGCAACAACCTCTATCACTACACTCACTACCACTCCACTACAAAACACAACCACTGCCCTCTCATCCAATCCTGTACAAACCACCCCCACTAATACCCTCGCCACATCACTTTCCCAAACAACAGCTGCAAGCTCGGCCTCTCCAGTGCCTACTCTTGTTGAAACAACTACCTTTCCCTCCTCAGCATCTCAAACATCCCGCAAAGCAGAAGAAACAACCACTGCACTCACATCTAGCCCAACTGCTGCATCTTCGGCTCAAACAGCTACAAGCTCTCCTCAAGAGACTACATCCACGCAAAACACCTCCCCACTTACGTCCACCTCTTCTCCTGGAACAAGCCCATCTCCTACAAACACCTCACCAGCTGCTCTAACCACTGCTCAGCAGAACACTTCTCCAGCTCAGAGTGAAACTGCACCATCGTCTCCGTCTGTACTCTACACAAGTGCTTCTTTCTTATCCAATTCTTTTAAGATATCCACCACTGCTCCCCAGGGCACATCACATTTCGCCACTACTACAAGCTCTTTCTCTCCAAGTGAATCTACAAGTCTTGTGCCAGTATCTACATCTCTGTCTACGTCATCAGTACCATCCTTCCAATCTTCTGAATCAACCACTATAGTCTCCTCTATCCAAGCTAGCACATCCTCACCTTATCATTTCACAACTTCTACTTCTTCAACAGCACAGGCATCTACACTTCCTTTTTCTGATGTTGGAAGTACGACTTATTTTGAGAAAACTTCTCGTCTTAATTTTACTCCTCTTCCTATTACATGTAAGTATATTGATCTTACAATGAATGGAATTAAAATCCAAGTGAAATAAGTAAATTATGTACTTCTCAGATGAGCTTTTCCATTGAGGTTATATTTTCCTTTTTTATTTTATGTGCATTTTGTAATAGATCCAATGGAAACGTCATGCTGCTTATGCTCTGATCTTCTTCACCTTAGTTAAATATTGTATTCTCTTGAAAGCTACTCTATACGATATTCCTACTGCAATTAAATTCGTACTTAATTTAGTACGTCAGAGATTGTGCTTTCTGCTGTGAGATTATACCACTGAACAAAATAATTCGTATCAGCATTGGAGAATTATACCAGTCATTACTCTCATCAATTTTTATATTTCTTATTGAATGGGAACAGAATGCCAAAACATGCACACTCCAGGAAGTTAGGTGTACTTCCACTTCCTTTCTGAATGCCTTAGTGATATATATTATGTGATATAATATGTGATATTATGTGATTATGTGATATAATTCCACTCTCCTCTGCATTGTCATTTTATCAGAAAAGATGAAGGCTAAACAGTCTTCAATTTTGCGATAGTCCAAAGACAGAATTATGTGCAGTGTACAACGAAATCACAATGAAGAGTAGAGTGGAAAATCAAGCAGTCAAGAGGAGCAGTAAAATACAAAATCAACCACTGTTGCCCTCCATAGGAAAGTGAATGTAGCAACTCTCTGTTATGCTTTGAAGGCCACATACACATACATCAATAAAAAAATAAGTAACCTCATAGACTGTAAAAGACTATAGAAAAAGTGTGAGCACTTGGCCAAACAAAGATGTTATACATGTACAAAGGATTAAGAGTGCAGAATAAAATAATGAAATCATATTCAAAGTAAAAGGAATTTTAAGAGAAAAATGTAAATAATAAGAATTAACGGGATTCCATTAAAAAAAAAAAAAAAAAAAAAACCATAGAAAAACAACAATAACAACAAAATAAAAAAAGAGATTAAATATAACACATATCAGAAAAATAAAAAAATAAAAATATTAATTCATAAATATGAACTAAAAACCATTAAAGACAACAATAAAAAGCATGCAAAACAGAAAAAAATAGTGGACTATAAGAAGGGAATATAAAAACAGCATTCTGGATAAAAATACATCTCCTAATAGAGAGACTAATAAGAAAAGATGAAAATAGAAAGTAATTTCAAATACAAATGAGAGTATCATTCTAAGACGACATGAAAATGTTTAGGATTAAACACAAAACACTACAGAAATGCAAATAAAAATAAGTCAGCGCACACAAAAAGCAGCACCGACACACAAAGAATGGCTTCAGGCCATACGAGATAAAGAATAAAATTCACAAGACACCAAGAAACAGCTCATGTAAAAAACGCCTGTAAAGCCTCAGAGACGAATCTCAAGAATGGAGCTCGTGAACCCTGGGACAAGTGCAGAACCCGCCAGACTTTGCCATCACAGTGACGGCTGGGGAGGAGAAATAGCTGGCCACGCACCACTGCCTTGGCCCTCCCACAGCCTTCACAGCCGTCCTCCTGCCCCCTCTCACTCCCCATCTGTGCTTCTTGCAGCTCCCACTCGGCCACCAACCACACCTCCAGGCCTCGAGCGTTTCACCGTCAACTTCACCATCACCAATCTCCCCTACGATTCCGACCTGCACGTTCCTCACTCGGCCAAGCTCAACAGCACCCAGAGGGTCATGACCACCTTGGTACGTAACCCGCAACGCTGCCAAGGCCGGAAGGGGAGCTTGCCTGACACTGGCTCTGGAAAGCATCCGGCGATGCAAGCAGGCTTCTCATCACAAACCTTTCTCGTTGCCAGCTCAACCGCCTTCTCAAGGACACCAGCATTGGCCCCAATTTCCTTGGATGTGCAACGACAGCCTTCAGGTAGGGGTGGCCACCCAGGGTCCCTGGTCAGATGCCAGCACTCGGGGTCCCACCACACTTCCGCTCTGTCACCACCAAGACCTTCTCCCTGCTCTCATTCTCCCTCACGACCTCGGCCCTTGGAGCCTCCCCTCGCCGCCAGCCCCCTAACCCTCGGGTCATGGTGCTGAGCAAAGAACGACTCCGCAGTCTCCTCTTGCCCACGGCTTCCGGAAAAAAAAGCCGTACTTTCAGTGGAGGCAGGAGTGGAAGGGAGCCCCAGCTCGGCCTGACCGGGCAGTGCCGAGCATGCATTCACGGAGACGCGCACGTTCAGCAGCCGCAAAGCCTGTCGACCTTGGAGCAATGAGGTGCAGAAGCCAGGTGCTCAGGCATGGCTTTCTGTTTTCCAGGTCCCTGAGGCAAGGCGACAACACAGGCGTGGACCTCGTCTGCAGCTACAGGAAGGAGCCCTCCAGCCCTGACTTGGACAGGGTGGGCCTTTACCACGAAGTGAGCAACAAGACCAGAGCCGTCACGCGCCTGGGCCCCTACAGCCTGGACAGGACCAGCCTCTACGTCAACGGTGAACAAGGCCTCTCCTGCTGCCTCCCTCTGGCCCTCCGCCTTCCCCCCACGGAGCTCCAGCTCATGTCTCTCTCTCTCTCTCATTCCAGGTTACAACGAACAGCCAGTGACGCGGCCAGTGACGCCCAGTGAGTACCACACTGGGGCAGGACGCACCCAAAAGGCAACGGGTGCCTCGCGGGCCTCTCGTCCCATGAGCTCGTGAACCCTGGGACAAGTGCAGAACCCGCCAGACTTTGCCATCACAGTGACGGCTGGGGAGGAGAAATAGCTGGCCACGCACCACTGCCTTGGCCCTCCCACAGCCTTCACAGCCGTCCTCCTGCCCCCTCTCACTCCCCATCTGTGCTTCTTGCAGCTCCCACTCGGCCACCAACCACACCTCCAGGCCTCGAGCGTTTCACCGTCAACTTCACCATCACCAATCTCCCCTACGATTCCGACCTGCACGTTCCTCACTCGGCCAAGCTCAACAGCACCCAGAGGGTCATGACCACCTTGGTACGTAACCCGCAACGCTGCCAAGGCCGGAAGGGGAGCTTGCCTGACACTGGCTCTGGAAAGCATCCGGCGATGCAAGCAGGCTTCTCATCACAAACCTTTCTCGTTGCCAGCTCAACCGCCTTCTCAAGGACACCAGCATTGGCCCCAATTTCCTTGGATGTGCAACGACAGCCTTCAGGTAGGGGTGGCCACCCAGGGTCCCTGGTCAGATGCCAGCACTCGGGGTCCCACCACACTTCCGCTCTGTCACCACCAAGACCTTCTCCCTGCTCTCATTCTCCCTCACGACCTCGGCCCTTGGAGCCTCCCCTCGCCGCCAGCCCCCTAACCCTCGGGTCATGGTGCTGAGCAAAGAACGACTCCGCAGTCTCCTCTTGCCCACGGCTTCCGGAAAAAAAAGCCGTACTTTCAGTGGAGGCAGGAGTGGAAGGGAGCCCCAGCTCGGCCTGACCGGGCAGTGCCGAGCATGCATTCACGGAGACGCGCACGTTCAGCAGCCGCAAAGCCTGTCGACCTTGGAGCAATGAGGTGCAGAAGCCAGGTGCTCAGGCATGGCTTTCTGTTTTCCAGGTCCCTGAGGCAAGGCGACAACACAGGCGTGGACCTCGTCTGCAGCTACAGGAAGGAGCCCTCCAGCCCTGACTTGGACAGGGTGGGCCTTTACCACGAAGTGAGCAACAAGACCAGAGCCGTCACGCGCCTGGGCCCCTACAGCCTGGACAGGACCAGCCTCTACGTCAACGGTGAACAAGGCCTCTCCTGCTGCCTCCCTCTGGCCCTCCGCCTTCCCCCCACGGAGCTCCAGCTCATGTCTCTCTCTCTCTCTCATTCCAGGTTACAACGAACAGCCAGTGACGCGGCCAGTGACGCCCAGTGAGTACCACACTGGGGCAGGACGCACCCAAAAGGCAACGGGTGCCTCGCGGGCCTCTCGTCCCATGAGCTCGTGAACCCCGGGACAAGTGCAGAACCCGCCAGACTTTGCCATCACAGTGACGGCTGGGGAGGAGAAATAGCTGGCCACGCACCACTGCCTTGGCCCTCCCACAGCCTTCACAGCCGTCCTCCTGCCCCCTCTCACTCCCCATCTGTGCTTCTTGCAGCTCCCACTCGGCCACCAACCACACCTCCAGGCCTCGAGCGTTTCACCGTCAACTTCACCATCACCAATCTCCCCTACGATTCCGACCTGCACGTTCCTCACTCGGCCAAGCTCAACAGCACCCAGAGGGTCATGACCACCTTGGTACGTAACCCGCAACGCTGCCAAGGCCGGAAGGGGAGCTTGCCTGACACTGGCTCTGGAAAGCATCCGGCGATGCAAGCAGGCTTCTCATCACAAACCTTTCTCGTTGCCAGCTCAACCGCCTTCTCAAGGACACCAGCATTGGCCCCAATTTCCTTGGATGTGCAACGACAGCCTTCAGGTAGGGGTGGCCACCCAGGGTCCCTGGTCAGATGCCAGCACTCGGGGTCCCACCACACTTCCGCTCTGTCACCACCAAGACCTTCTCCCTGCTCTCATTCTCCCTCACGACCTCGGCCCTTGGAGCCTCCCCTCGCCGCCAGCCCCCTAACCCTCGGGTCATGGTGCTGAGCAAAGAACGACTCCGCAGTCTCCTCTTGCCCACGGCTTCCGGAAAAAAAAAGCCGTACTTTCAGTGGAGGCAGGAGTGGAAGGGAGCCCCAGCTCGGCCTGACCGGGCAGTGCCGAGCATGCATTCACGGAGACGCGCACGTTCAGCAGCCGCAAAGCCTGTCGACCTTGGAGCAATGAGGTGCAGAAGCCAGGTGCTCAGGCATGGCTTTCTGTTTTCCAGGTCCCTGAGGCAAGGCGACAACACAGGCGTGGACCTCGTCTGCAGCTACAGGAAGGAGCCCTCCAGCCCTGACTTGGACAGGGTGGGCCTTTACCACGAAGTGAGCAACAAGACCAGAGCCGTCACGCGCCTGGGCCCCTACAGCCTGGACAGGACCAGCCTCTACGTCAACGGTGAACAAGGCCTCTCCTGCTGCCTCCCTCTGGCCCTCCGCCTTCCCCCCACGGAGCTCCAGCTCATGTCTCTCTCTCTCTCTCATTCCAGGTTACAACGAACAGCCAGTGACGCGGCCAGTGACGCCCAGTGAGTACCACACTGGGGCAGGACGCACCCAAAAGGCAACGGGTGCCTCGCGGGCCTCTCGTCCCATGAGCTCGTGAACCCTGGGACAAGTGCAGAACCCGCCAGACTTTGCCATCACAGTGACGGCTGGGGAGGAGAAATAGCTGGCCACGCACCACTGCCTTGGCCCTCCCACAGCCTTCACAGCCGTCCTCCTGCCCCCTCTCACTCCCCATCTGTGCTTCTTGCAGCTCCCACTCGGCCACCAACCACACCTCCAGGCCTCGAGCGTTTCACCGTCAACTTCACCATCACCAATCTCCCCTACGATTCCGACCTGCACGTTCCTCACTCGGCCAAGCTCAACAGCACCCAGAGGGTCATGACCACCTTGGTACGTAACCCGCAACGCTGCCAAGGCCGGAAGGGGAGCTTGCCTGACACTGGCTCTGGAAAGCATCCGGCGATGCAAGCAGGCTTCTCATCACAAACCTTTCTCGTTGCCAGCTCAACCGCCTTCTCAAGGACACCAGCATTGGCCCCAATTTCCTTGGATGTGCAACGACAGCCTTCAGGTAGGGGTGGCCACCCAGGGTCCCTGGTCAGATGCCAGCACTCGGGGTCCCACCACACTTCCGCTCTGTCACCACCAAGACCTTCTCCCTGCTCTCATTCTCCCTCACGACCTCGGCCCTTGGAGCCTCCCCTCGCCGCCAGCCCCCTAACCCTCGGGTCATGGTGCTGAGCAAAGAACGACTCCGCAGTCTCCTCTTGCCCACGGCTTGCGGAAAAAAAAGCCGTACTTTCAGTGGAGGCAGGAGTGGAAGGGAGCCCCAGCTCGGCCTGACCGGGCAGTGCCGAGCATGCATTCACGGAGACGCGCACGTTCAGCAGCCGCAAAGCCTGTCGACCTTGGAGCAATGAGGTGCAGAAGCCAGGTGCTCAGGCATGGCTTTCTGTTTTCCAGGTCCCTGAGGCAAGGCGACAACACAGGCGTGGACCTCGTCTGCAGCTACAGGAAGGAGCCCTCCAGCCCTGACTTGGACAGGGTGGGCCTTTACCACGAAGTGAGCAACAAGACCAGAGCCGTCACGCGCCTGGGCCCCTACAGCCTGGACAGGACCAGCCTCTACGTCAACGGTGAACAAGGCCTCTCCTGCTGCCTCCCTCTGGCCCTCCGCCTTCCCCCCACGGAGCTCCAGCTCATGTCTCTCTCTCTCTCTCATTCCAGGTTACAACGAACAGCCAGTGACGCGGCCAGTGACGCCCAGTGAGTACCACACTGGGGCAGGACGCACCCAAAAGGCAACGGGTGCCTCGCGGGCCTCTCGTCCCATGAGCTCGTGAACCCCGGGACAAGTGCAGAACCCGCCAGACTTTGCCATCACAGTGACGGCTGGGGAGGAGAAATAGCTGGCCACGCACCACTGCCTTGGCCCTCCCACAGCCTTCACAGCCGTCCTCCTGCCCCCTCTCACTCCCCATCTGTGCTTCTTGCAGCTCCCACTCGGCCACCAACCACACCTCCAGGCCTCGAGCGTTTCACCGTCAACTTCACCATCACCAATCTCCCCTACGATTCCGACCTGCACGTTCCTCACTCGGCCAAGCTCAACAGCACCCAGAGGGTCATGACCACCTTGGTACGTAACCCGCAACGCTGCCAAGGCCGGAAGGGGAGCTTGCCTGACACTGGCTCTGGAAAGCATCCGGCGATGCAAGCAGGCTTCTCATCACAAACCTTTCTCGTTGCCAGCTCAACCGCCTTCTCAAGGACACCAGCATTGGCCCCAATTTCCTTGGATGTGCAACGACAGCCTTCAGGTAGGGGTGGCCACCCAGGGTCCCTGGTCAGATGCCAGCACTCGGGGTCCCACCACACTTCCGCTCTGTCACCACCAAGACCTTCTCCCTGCTCTCATTCTCCCTCACGACCTCGGCCCTTGGAGCCTCCCCTCGCCGCCAGCCCCCTAACCCTCGGGTCATGGTGCTGAGCAAAGAACGACTCCGCAGTCTCCTCTTGCCCACGGCTTCCGGAAAAAAAAGCCGTACTTTCAGTGGAGGCAGGAGTGGAAGGGAGCCCCAGCTCGGCCTGACCGGGCAGTGCCGAGCATGCATTCACGGAGACGCGCACGTTCAGCAGCCGCAAAGCCTGTCGACCTTGGAGCAATGAGGTGCAGAAGCCAGGTGCTCAGGCATGGCTTTCTGTTTTCCAGGTCCCTGAGGCAAGGCGACAACACAGGCGTGGACCTCGTCTGCAGCTACAGGAAGGAGCCCTCCAGCCCTGACTTGGACAGGGTGGGCCTTTACCACGAAGTGAGCAACAAGACCAGAGCCGTCACGCGCCTGGGCCCCTACAGCCTGGACAGGACCAGCCTCTACGTCAACGGTGAACAAGGCCTCTCCTGCTGCCTCCCTCTGGCCCTCCGCCTTCCCCCCACGGAGCTCCAGCTCATGTCTCTCTCTCTCTCTCATTCCAGGTTACAACGAACAGCCAGTGACGCGGCCAGTGACGCCCAGTGAGTACCACACTGGGGCAGGACGCACCCAAAAGGCAACGGGTGCCTCGCGGGCCTCTCGTCCCATGAGCTCGTGAACCCTGGGACAAGTGCAGAACCCGCCAGACTTTGCCATCACAGTGACGGCTGGGGAGGAGAAATAGCTGGCCACGCACCACTGCCTTGGCCCTCCCACAGCCTTCACAGCCGTCCTCCTGCCCCCTCTCACTCCCCATCTGTGCTTCTTGCAGCTCCCACTCGGCCACCAACCACACCTCCAGGCCTCGAGCGTTTCACCGTCAACTTCACCATCACCAACCTCCCCTACGATTCCGACCTGCACGTTCCTCACTCGGCCAAGCTCAACAGCACCCAGAGGGTCATGACCACCTTGGTACGTAACCCGCAACGCTGCCAAGGCCGGAAGGGGAGCTTGCCTGACACTGGCTCTGGAAAGCATCCGGCGATGCAAGCAGGCTTCTCATCACAAACCTTTCTCGTTGCCAGCTCAACCGCCTTCTCAAGGACACCAGCATTGGCCCCAATTTCCTTGGATGTGCAACGACAGCCTTCAGGTAGGGGTGGCCACCCAGGGTCCCTGGTCAGATGCCAGCACTCGGGGTCCCACCACACTTCCGCTCTGTCACCACCAAGACCTTCTCCCTGCTCTCATTCTCCCTCACGACCTCGGCCCTTGGAGCCTCCCCTCGCCGCCAGCCCCCTAACCCTCGGGTCATGGTGCTGAGCAAAGAACGACTCCGCAGTCTCCTCTTGCCCACGGCTTGCGGAAAAAAAAAGCCGTACTTTCAGTGGAGGCAGGAGTGGAAGGGAGCCCCAGCTCGGCCTGACCGGGCAGTGCCGAGCATGCATTCACGGAGACGCGCACGTTCAGCAGCCGCAAAGCCTGTCGACCTTGGAGCAATGAGGTGCAGAAGCCAGGTGCTCAGGCATGGCTTTCTGTTTTCCAGGTCCCTGAGGCAAGGCGACAACACAGGCGTGGACCTCGTCTGCAGCTACAGGAAGGAGCCCTCCAGCCCTGACTTGGACAGGGTGGGCCTTTACCACGAAGTGAGCAACAAGACCAGAGCCGTCACGCGCCTGGGCCCCTACAGCCTGGACAGGACCAGCCTCTACGTCAACGGTGAACAAGGCCTCTCCTGCTGCCTCCCTCTGGCCCTCCGCCTTCCCCCCACGGAGCTCCAGCTCATGTCTCTCTCTCTCTCTCATTCCAGGTTACAACGAACAGCCAGTGACGCGGCCAGTGACGCCCAGTGAGTACCACACTGGGGCAGGACGCACCCAAAAGGCAACGGGTGCCTCGCGGGCCTCTCGTCCCATGAGCTCGTGAACCCCGGGACAAGTGCAGAACCCGCCAGACTTTGCCATCACAGTGACGGCTGGGGAGGAGAAATAGCTGGCCACGCACCACTGCCTTGGCCCTCCCACAGCCTTCACAGCCGTCCTCCTGCCCCCTCTCACTCCCCATCTGTGCTTCTTGCAGCTCCCACTCGGCCACCAACCACACCTCCAGGCCTCGAGCGTTTCACCGTCAACTTCACCATCACCAATCTCCCCTACGATTCCGACCTGCACGTTCCTCACTCGGCCAAGCTCAACAGCACCCAGAGGGTCATGACCACCTTGGTACGTAACCCGCAACGCTGCCAAGGCCGGAAGGGGAGCTTGCCTGACACTGGCTCTGGAAAGTATCCGGCGATGCAAGCAGGCTTCTCATCACAAACCTTTCTCGTTGCCAGCTCAACCGCCTTCTCAAGGACACCAGCATTGGCCCCAATTTCCTTGGATGTGCAACGACAGCCTTCAGGTAGGGGTGGCCACCCAGGGTCCCTGGTCAGATGCCAGCACTCGGGGTCCCACCACACTTCCGCTCTGTCACCACCAAGACCTTCTCCCTGCTCTCATTCTCCCTCACGACCTCGGCCCTTGGAGCCTCCCCTCGCCGCCAGCCCCCTAACCCTCGGGTCATGGTGCTGAGCAAAGAACGACTCCGCAGTCTCCTCTTGCCCACGGCTTCCGGAAAAAAAAGCCGTACTTTCAGTGGAGGCAGGAGTGGAAGGGAGCCCCAGCTCGGCCTGACCGGGCAGTGCCGAGCATGCATTCACGGAGACGCGCACGTTCAGCAGCCGCAAAGCCTGTCGACCTTGGAGCAATGAGGTGCAGAAGCCAGGTGCTCAGGCATGGCTTTCTGTTTTCCAGGTCCCTGAGGCAAGGCGACAACACAGGCGTGGACCTCGTCTGCAGCTACAGGAAGGAGCCCTCCAGCCCTGACTTGGACAGGGTGGGCCTTTACCACGAAGTGAGCAACAAGACCAGAGCCGTCACGCGCCTGGGCCCCTACAGCCTGGACAGGACCAGCCTCTACGTCAACGGTGAACAAGGCCTCTCCTGCTGCCTCCCTCTGGCCCTCCGCCTTCCCCCCACGGAGCTCCAGCTCATGTCTCTCTCTCTCTCTCATTCCAGGTTACAACGAACAGCCAGTGACGCGGCCAGTGACGCCCAGTGAGTACCACACTGGGGCAGGACGCACCCAAAAGGCAACGGGTGCCTCGCGGGCCTCTCGTCCCATGAGCTCGTGAACCCCGGGACAAGTGCAGAACCCGCCAGACTTTGCCATCACAGTGACGGCTGGGGAGGAGAAATAGCTGGCCACGCACCACTGCCTTGGCCCTCCCACAGCCTTCACAGCCGTCCTCCTGCCCCCTCTCACTCCCCATCTGTGCTTCTTGCAGCTCCCACTCGGCCACCAACCACACCTCCAGGCCTCGAGCGTTTCACCGTCAACTTCACCATCACCAATCTCCCCTACGATTCCGACCTGCACGTTCCTCACTCGGCCAAGCTCAACAGCACCCAGAGGGTCATGACCACCTTGGTACGTAACCCGCAACGCTGCCAAGGCCGGAAGGGGAGCTTGCCTGACACTGGCTCTGGAAAGCATCCGGCGATGCAAGCAGGCTTCTCATCACAAACCTTTCTCGTTGCCAGCTCAACCGCCTTCTCAAGGACACCAGCATTGGCCCCAATTTCCTTGGATGTGCAACGACAGCCTTCAGGTAGGGGTGGCCACCCAGGGTCCCTGGTCAGATGCCAGCACTCGGGGTCCCACCACACTTCCGCTCTGTCACCACCAAGACCTTCTCCCTGCTCTCATTCTCCCTCACGACCTCGGCCCTTGGAGCCTCCCCTCGCCGCCAGCCCCCTAACCCTCGGGTCATGGTGCTGAGCAAAGAACGACTCCGCAGTCTCCTCTTGCCCACGGCTTCCGGAAAAAAAAGCCGTACTTTCAGTGGAGGCAGGAGTGGAAGGGAGCCCCAGCTCGGCCTGACCGGGCAGTGCCGAGCATGCATTCACGGAGACGCGCACGTTCAGCAGCCGCAAAGCCTGTCGACCTTGGAGCAATGAGGTGCAGAAGCCAGGTGCTCAGGCATGGCTTTCTGTTTTCCAGGTCCCTGAGGCAAGGCGACAACACAGGCGTGGACCTCGTCTGCAGCTACAGGAAGGAGCCCTCCAGCCCTGACTTGGACAGGGTGGGCCTTTACCACGAAGTGAGCAACAAGACCAGAGCCGTCACGCGCCTGGGCCCCTACAGCCTGGACAGGACCAGCCTCTACGTCAACGGTGAACAAGGCCTCTCCTGCTGCCTCCCTCTGGCCCTCCGCCTTCCCCCCACGGAGCTCCAGCTCATGTCTCTCTCTCTCTCTCATTCCAGGTTACAACGAACAGCCAGTGACGCGGCCAGTGACGCCCAGTGAGTACCACACTGGGGCAGGACGCACCCAAAAGGCAACGGGTGCCTCGCGGGCCTCTCGTCCCATGAGCTCGTGAACCCTGGGACAAGTGCAGAACCCGCCAGACTTTGCCATCACAGTGACGGCTGGGGAGGAGAAATAGCTGGCCACGCACCACTGCCTTGGCCCTCCCACAGCCTTCACAGCCGTCCTCCTGCCCCCTCTCACTCCCCATCTGTGCTTCTTGCAGCTCCCACTCGGCCACCAACCACACCTCCAGGCCTCGAGCGTTTCACCGTCAACTTCACCATCACCAACCTCCCCTACGATTCCGACCTGCACGTTCCTCACTCGGCCAAGCTCAACAGCACCCAGAGGGTCATGACCACCTTGGTACGTAACCCGCAACGCTGCCAAGGCCGGAAGGGGAGCTTGCCTGACACTGGCTCTGGAAAGTATCCGGCGATGCAAGCAGGCTTCTCATCACAAACCTTTCTCGTTGCCAGCTCAACCGCCTTCTCAAGGACACCAGCATTGGCCCCAATTTCCTTGGATGTGCAACGACAGCCTTCAGGTAGGGGTGGCCACCCAGGGTCCCTGGTCAGATGCCAGCACTCGGGGTCCCACCACACTTCCGCTCTGTCACCACCAAGACCTTCTCCCTGCTCTCATTCTCCCTCACGACCTCGGCCCTTGGAGCCTCCCCTCGCCGCCAGCCCCCTAACCCTCGGGTCATGGTGCTGAGCAAAGAACGACTCCGCAGTCTCCTCTTGCCCACGGCTTCCGGAAAAAAAAGCCGTACTTTCAGTGGAGGCAGGAGTGGAAGGGAGCCCCAGCTCGGCCTGACCGGGCAGTGCCGAGCATGCATTCACGGAGACGCGCACGTTCAGCAGCCGCAAAGCCTGTCGACCTTGGAGCAATGAGGTGCAGAAGCCAGGTGCTCAGGCATGGCTTTCTGTTTTCCAGGTCCCTGAGGCAAGGCGACAACACAGGCGTGGACCTCGTCTGCAGCTACAGGAAGGAGCCCTCCAGCCCTGACTTGGACAGGGTGGGCCTTTACCACGAAGTGAGCAACAAGACCAGAGCCGTCACGCGCCTGGGCCCCTACAGCCTGGACAGGACCAGCCTCTACGTCAACGGTGAACAAGGCCTCTCCTGCTGCCTCCCTCTGGCCCTCCGCCTTCCCCCCACGGAGCTCCAGCTCATGTCTCTCTCTCTCTCTCATTCCAGGTTACAACGAACAGCCAGTGACGCGGCCAGTGACGCCCAGTGAGTACCACACTGGGGCAGGACGCACCCAAAAGGCAACGGGTGCCTCGCGGGCCTCTCGTCCCAGGAGCTCGTGAACCCCGGGACAAGTGCAGAACCCGCCAGACTTTGCCATCACAGTGACGGCTGGGGAGGAGAAATAGCTGGCCACGCACCACTGCCTTGGCCCTCCCACAGCCTTCACAGCCGTCCTCCTGCCCCCTCTCACTCCCCATCTGTGCTTCTTGCAGCTCCCACTCGGCCACCAACCACACCTCCAGGCCTCGAGCGTTTCACCGTCAACTTCACCATCACCAATCTCCCCTACGATTCCGACCTGCACGTTCCTCACTCGGCCAAGCTCAACAGCACCCAGAGGGTCATGACCACCTTGGTACGTAACCCGCAACGCTGCCAAGGCCGGAAGGGGAGCTTGCCTGACACTGGCTCTGGAAAGTATCCGGCGATGCAAGCAGGCTTCTCATCACAAACCTTTCTCGTTGCCAGCTCAACCGCCTTCTCAAGGACACCAGCATTGGCCCCAATTTCCTTGGATGTGCAACGACAGCCTTCAGGTAGGGGTGGCCACCCAGGGTCCCTGGTCAGATGCCAGCACTCGGGGTCCCACCACACTTCCGCTCTGTCACCACCAAGACCTTCTCCCTGCTCTCATTCTCCCTCACGACCTCGGCCCTTGGAGCCTCCCCTCGCCGCCAGCCCCCTAACCCTCGGGTCATGGTGCTGAGCAAAGAACGACTCCGCAGTCTCCTCTTGCCCACGGCTTGCGGAAAAAAAAGCCGTACTTTCAGTGGAGGCAGGAGTGGAAGGGAGCCCCAGCTCGGCCTGACCGGGCAGTGCCGAGCATGCATTCACGGAGACGCGCACGTTCAGCAGCCGCAAAGCCTGTCGACCTTGGAGCAATGAGGTGCAGAAGCCAGGTGCTCAGGCATGGCTTTCTGTTTTCCAGGTCCCTGAGGCAAGGCGACAACACAGGCGTGGACCTCGTCTGCAGCTACAGGAAGGAGCCCTCCAGCCCTGACTTGGACAGGGTGGGCCTTTACCACGAAGTGAGCAACAAGACCAGAGCCGTCACGCGCCTGGGCCCCTACAGCCTGGACAGGACCAGCCTCTACGTCAACGGTGAACAAGGCCTCTCCTGCTGCCTCCCTCTGGCCCTCCGCCTTCCCCCCACGGAGCTCCAGCTCATGTCTCTCTCTCTCTCTCATTCCAGGTTACAACGAACAGCCAGTGACGCGGCCAGTGACGCCCAGTGAGTACCACACTGGGGCAGGACGCACCCAAAAGGCAACGGGTGCCTCGCGGGCCTCTCGTCCCATGAGCTCGTGAACCCCGGGACAAGTGCAGAACCCGCCAGACTTTGCCATCACAGTGACGGCTGGGGAGGAGAAATAGCTGGCCACGCACCACTGCCTTGGCCCTCCCACAGCCTTCACAGCCGTCCTCCTGCCCCCTCTCACTCCCCATCTGTGCTTCTTGCAGCTCCCACTCGGCCACCAACCACACCTCCAGGCCTCGAGCGTTTCACCGTCAACTTCACCATCACCAATCTCCCCTACGATTCCGACCTGCACGTTCCTCACTCGGCCAAGCTCAACAGCACCCAGAGGGTCATGACCACCTTGGTACGTAACCCGCAACGCTGCCAAGGCCGGAAGGGGAGCTTGCCTGACACTGGCTCTGGAAAGCATCCGGCGATGCAAGCAGGCTTCTCATCACAAACCTTTCTCGTTGCCAGCTCAACCGCCTTCTCAAGGACACCAGCATTGGCCCCAATTTCCTTGGATGTGCAACGACAGCCTTCAGGTAGGGGTGGCCACCCAGGGTCCCTGGTCAGATGCCAGCACTCGGGGTCCCACCACACTTCCGCTCTGTCACCACCAAGACCTTCTCCCTGCTCTCATTCTCCCTCACGACCTCGGCCCTTGGAGCCTCCCCTCGCCGCCAGCCCCCTAACCCTCGGGTCATGGTGCTGAGCAAAGAACGACTCCGCAGTCTCCTCTTGCCCACGGCTTCCGGAAAAAAAAGCCGTACTTTCAGTGGAGGCAGGAGTGGAAGGGAGCCCCAGCTCGGCCTGACCGGGCAGTGCCGAGCATGCATTCACGGAGACGCGCACGTTCAGCAGCCGCAAAGCCTGTCGACCTTGGAGCAATGAGGTGCAGAAGCCAGGTGCTCAGGCATGGCTTTCTGTTTTCCAGGTCCCTGAGGCAAGGCGACAACACAGGCGTGGACCTCGTCTGCAGCTACAGGAAGGAGCCCTCCAGCCCTGACTTGGACAGGGTGGGCCTTTACCACGAAGTGAGCAACAAGACCAGAGCCGTCACGCGCCTGGGCCCCTACAGCCTGGACAGGACCAGCCTCTACGTCAACGGTGAACAAGGCCTCTCCTGCTGCCTCCCTCTGGCCCTCCGCCTTCCCCCCACGGAGCTCCAGCTCATGTCTCTCTCTCTCTCTCATTCCAGGTTACAACGAACAGCCAGTGACGCGGCCAGTGACGCCCAGTGAGTACCACACTGGGGCAGGACGCACCCAAAAGGCAACGGGTGCCTCGCGGGCCTCTCGTCCCAGGAGCTCGTGAACCCCGGGACAAGTGCAGAACCCGCCAGACTTTGCCATCACAGTGACGGCTGGGGAGGAGAAATAGCTGGCCACGCACCACTGCCTTGGCCCTCCCACAGCCTTCACAGCCGTCCTCCTGCCCCCTCTCACTCCCCATCTGTGCTTCTTGCAGCTCCCACTCGGCCACCAACCACACCTCCAGGCCTCGAGCGTTTCACCGTCAACTTCACCATCACCAATCTCCCCTACGATTCCGACCTGCACGTTCCTCACTCGGCCAAGCTCAACAGCACCCAGAGGGTCATGACCACCTTGGTACGTAACCCGCAACGCTGCCAAGGCCGGAAGGGGAGCTTGCCTGACACTGGCTCTGGAAAGTATCCGGCGATGCAAGCAGGCTTCTCATCACAAACCTTTCTCGTTGCCAGCTCAACCGCCTTCTCAAGGACACCAGCATTGGCCCCAATTTCCTTGGATGTGCAACGACAGCCTTCAGGTAGGGGTGGCCACCCAGGGTCCCTGGTCAGATGCCAGCACTCGGGGTCCCACCACACTTCCGCTCTGTCACCACCAAGACCTTCTCCCTGCTCTCATTCTCCCTCACGACCTCGGCCCTTGGAGCCTCCCCTCGCCGCCAGCCCCCTAACCCTCGGGTCATGGTGCTGAGCAAAGAACGACTCCGCAGTCTCCTCTTGCCCACGGCTTGCGGAAAAAAAAGCCGTACTTTCAGTGGAGGCAGGAGTGGAAGGGAGCCCCAGCTCGGCCTGACCGGGCAGTGCCGAGCATGCATTCACGGAGACGCGCACGTTCAGCAGCCGCAAAGCCTGTCGACCTTGGAGCAATGAGGTGCAGAAGCCAGGTGCTCAGGCATGGCTTTCTGTTTTCCAGGTCCCTGAGGCAAGGCGACAACACAGGCGTGGACCTCGTCTGCAGCTACAGGAAGGAGCCCTCCAGCCCTGACTTGGACAGGGTGGGCCTTTACCACGAAGTGAGCAACAAGACCAGAGCCGTCACGCGCCTGGGCCCCTACAGCCTGGACAGGACCAGCCTCTATGTCAATGGTACATGTCTTTTTTTAATTTTTCCTCCATTTTTATCACATTTTTTTTGAATTTATTTGCCATTCATGTTTTCATCTCTTTTTTTTCTTTCTTTCTTTTTTTTTGTTTTATTATAGCTTTTTTTTCGCTTTTTCTGCTTTTTCCATGTTACGATTTTTGAGCATCATGTAATTGTTTCCTTTTTGACTTTTTCTGTATTTTTCTGTGTGGATAGTTTCACAGCTCACCTTCCTCTACCTGTTGTCTGAAACTGTAATATTTTTTGTATTACCTTTTTCTCAGCCTGAGCCTCATTTTTTATACTGGTATCTTTAGCCTTAAGTGGTATTCTTTATGTTGATCAGGGCCATTTTCAAATGGGAAACGTGTGGTTTAATAGATCTTATTATCGTCTTATTATTTCTTATGAGATGACCCTTGAGCACTGAAACTCCTCTGCAGGTTATTCATTGCAGTACCAGAGCTCCAGAGTACAAGAGGTGTTTGTGCAATTCTCTTAGGCTTTGAGTTTCGATTTTGGCTGGTCTTGTGCAGAACCTTAGCCTCTTCCAGCCAAGGATGTTTTATGATTCTGTGATTTTATTATCTCTCAGATCAGATAGGAAAAAGCAGATGGCAAAAAACTGTCAGCCTCAGTAAGTTAAAACAATCACAAACCCTGAAGTCATTAGGAATATGACATGTTTAGTATTGCTGCTCTTGATCAGTTGGAGCCAGAAGACATTCTTGGAATATTTTCCTAATGATTGCTCATTTCTTTTCAGATTACAATGAACCACATGATCTGTCATGTAAGTATATTAAAATTTATCTGTCAAACTACTTAGAGATATAATTTACTTTTTTTTCTGATTTCACTGTGCTCAGGAGATTGCCATATACCTCCAGTTTATGGTCATGTTCATAAGTTTCTTACGTAAATGTTATAAAGACAAAACCAGATAATATTGCATCTTATGATTTTTTTTGTGTTTGTTTTTGCTTATCTGCATATTTTTTCTCTCTTACAGTGGAAAAGCCATTCAACACACAAAGCTTGGGACAAATAATACAGCAATTCACAGTGAACTTCACCATAACCAACCTCAAGTTCACTACAGACCTAGGGAGATCCCATTCTGCTATATTCAATTCTACCAAGAAAATAATGCAACATTATGTAAGCTAACATCACGGTGTTCTTAATCACCCAGTGTTTTGCATTACCCATGCTCACAGAGACCTTTCCTTGTCAGATTGACCCTCTGCTTCGGAAAAGCAGCATTGGCCCTGACTTCATTGGCTGCAAAGCAATACTATTCAGGTAAGCAATGTAGCAGATTTACTTACGTTTGATTGATACTTAAAACCTTATTTTCCTTTCTCAAGAAGTCAGCAATAATGCTTTTATGCATTTTTCTATGTGCTTAATTTTACAAAGCCTTTGTGCTATAGCACCAACATCTCAGAATAACCTCTGCAGTTTATCTCTGACATTTGTGGACAGATTTTAATTGCTTCTTTTGTCTTGTTTTTCTCTTTTTAATAACATCAGAAGAAAACCCACAGATTTTTAGAACGAGTAACAACTAAACTTGATTCTACTTGATTTCTCAGGTCAGTGACGAATAGAAACAGCACAGCAGTAGACAGCATCTGCAGCTACAGAAATGGCTCCCAAGTGCCCAATTTTGACAAAGCTGCAGTTTATCAAGAACTAAGGACCATGACAATCAACATCACCAAATTAGGAATCTATAAACTGGATAAGGAGAGCCTCTATGTCAACGGTAAGTGCATAACTTTCAGTCCTCCAGGCACCAGAGCAGTCTGGAACCACACTGGGCTTTAGGAAACTCTTCAGTTTAAAAAAAAATAATAAAAGTAAATGTAAGGAAAAAGTGATCCTAGAATTTTCTGCATGATTTGTGTAAGATGAAGTGTATGCTTCCAAGAACATTTTCACATTGACATTTTTGAAGATTTTAATTTCTACGTTGCATTGAAGAGTGAATTATTTTTAGTCTTGACAGCAATAATTCACTTGCATATGAACATTTCACCTGATCTCTCTACCCCACTTAGTTAAAGCAGTACATGTATTTTCTCACTGTAGTCCTTCATAATATAAAAGGCTCTTTCTGCCCAAGCAAGAATTTAACAGATTCACACCCTCAGGGACTGGTTCTGGTGATTCATTCCTGAATCATCCATTTAATTATCCCCTCTTTCATTCTTTAAGTGTATGGTTCACTCACAGAATATTTCTCTTGCATTTCCTTTTCAGGTTATAACGAACCACTCCAGAGATCACGTAAGTGCTTTGCCAAAAACAGGTTCCTTGGAGTAGTCTTAAAGTTTGAAAAGATTGTGGATGTCTTTGAAACCAAGTATAGCTTTTTGTACTGTAAAATCATAATCCTTCTCCCATTTGATTACAGATCTGAGAGTAACTACTGCTCCAAGCCCAACAACCAGCCATTTCACACTTAATTTCACCTTGACCAACTTCCAATATACTGCAGATCTGGATGCACCAAATTCCCAAAGATTCATTTCCACAGAGAAAGTTATCAAACATTACGTAAGTCTGGCTCTGGCCCTGCCCATTTTGAGTTACAGTGATCTGGTATGCTTTCAAGTTCTCAAATTTACGTTATTACTATTATTTTAAATAGATTGACCCTCTGTTCAAAAGAAGCAGCATAAGCTCTGTCTACACTGGATGTAAAGTGATGAGGTTTAGGTAAGATTCATGAAAGCTCAATTATCTATTTGCCTGTTCTCACGCAACTTACACTTGCATAAGTTACTACACGTGCTGATGCCAGAAAATAGAAGTCAGTGGCAACTGCTTTCCCATTCCCAAATTTATTTATGGTGAAATTATATTGGTATTCAAATGCTGCCACAATTCTTCACATTCCACTGAAAGATATAATGAGCGGTGCACTTATTCATAGGAATCACACAGGGTGTTCTGTAAGCATCAGCAGCACCCTAAACCATGTGTCTAACATTTTCACTTAGGTCTGGGAGACGCAGAGGTGACACAGGTGTGGATGCTGTCTGCAGCTACAAAAACAACGTCAGCATGGCCAGGTTTGACAGAGAAACAGTTTATCACGAGCTGAGCACCATGACAAATGGCATCACCAAACTAGGGCACTACAGCCTAGAGAAGAACAGTCTGCATGTTAATGGTAAGCATGCATAAGCAGTTAAAAAGCAACGATTTTTCATCACTTGGAAAGCACTCCTCCCTCTCCCATTCCATCAGGGCTGGAATACTAATGAACTTTTCCCTTTGGTTTGTTGGGATTCAGTATGTTTTGGCATTAAGGCAAAAAAAAAAAAAAAGAAAAAAAAAGCCAACATGTTGTTGCTGGTCTAAGAGCACTTACATCCCTTAAATCATACAAATTCCTGCACAACATCACTGTTACATCATATGAACTAAACATGGACGTACCCACATTGCTTTTGTGGTGTGCATAGATCTGCTGTAAAAATAAAAGCACTCTACCTTTTTTTAATTTAGGTTTCCACCTCACAGACACAGCTACCACCAGAAAGCCTGTCTTGAATAAAGCTCCAGCCATAACAGGATACAAACTGAGCTTTAGAATAGTCAATGAAAACTTAACTAACCCAGACTCTCAGTCTCCAGAATACAAAGCAGCACTGGAAAGCATCAGTAAAAAGGTAAGGAGCTGCAGTTCAAATACCACCATATCTGCACTGTTCAACTTCTGCAGCAACTAGTGCGTATTTATTCAAACTATTGTTTGCTTAATTAAAAAAAAAAAAAAAACAAAAAAAAAAAACAACAACACACATTTGGGAACAAAATTTTCTAGAATCTAAAAAATGAGACTGGCTTTTCAGACAGTTAAATTTTTTAGTTTACATGTGGTTTTAAGCCTCCACCCGAGCACCATGAAATTTAAATGTACTCTTACTCAGCATTGTATCACAGTCACCAACTCAGAAGTCAGCACATTCATAATAAATTGCTGAGAAATGAACGGATTCTCTTCATCACCAATCCATCAACATACCTGACAAAGCCTTAGGCAGCTTTTGCTTTTTAAATGAAGTCATACCATTCTGTGCTTTGAGATCCCAGTCTGTTTTGTCCATGAAATATGGATCAAGATGACAGCCATCAGTCAATGAATTGCACAGTTTAACAATGGCAGCTTGTCTAAATAAGACAAAATGGACTACCAAGCTGGAAGTCAGACCCCAACAACAGAAGGCATATTCAGAAAAAAAAATTGTTCCACATCTACAGGCCTTCCTGCTGCCCTAAAGCATCTACCAGAGCTCCAGAACTCATTTAACGTGACATTTTTCTTTCAGCTGAACCAATTATACCATCAGAGCAACCTGCAAGACCAGTTCCTAAACTGCAGTATCACAAGACTAAGGTCTGTAATATAACTTTATTTAAAAAGGTTTACAAGATTGCAACCCCCAGTACTGTTCCCCAGCAGCCAAGTACTGTCCTTTGCAGAATTCTACCTGTCCATTAACAATTTGGTTCATGCCTTATCAGCTTCCTAGAATTCATCAGTTTGAATTCCTCTTAACTGATGCAAACTCAGACTCAGTCAGGATTTTTGTAGGGTATCCCCAGATCAGTATTTACTGATTGCCATCAGCAATTTTACCCCCTAAGAATGAGTTCTGAAGGGTGACTCTGTACCCTTCTGCCTTCCTCCTCCCAACTTGAACTCTGCTACTTTTAAAAAGAGAGCATTGGGCACATCTCTAGTGTCCTGCTTTCATGGGAAGAGGCTTGGACAAGAGACTCTCACACTGGTCAGTAGATTTTTAACTCAGAAGCTCTGTTTCTGTCCATAGGGCTGGATCCATAGTGGTTGACTGCAATTGCTTCTTCCAGCAAGAGCCCAGCATCAACAGGGCTGTGGTTGAAAGGGCTTTTCAGAATGGGACTTCAAATACAACTGGACTATGGTTGGGAAGCAGCTATCAGTTGCAAGAATTCTCAGTAGATGGTATGTTTAAATCTCAGCTGCCCTGTTTCCATTCAGATCATCTCACTGCCACAGAATTCCCCATTTTCTTCTCTAACTTGGGGAAAAGTCTATTACTAAGCTGAACTGCTGAACAGAGGGCAGAGTTTAGCCATTTTTTTTGACCCATTCAGTCTGGATCAATCTATCCTTTAGTCCTCAATTGCTCCTGTGACTATTCAGTGCTAAGCAAGAAAAAAGTGAAGTGATAACTACTTACCATAACTTCAAGCACTGAGGAATAAACAGATCTACCATTTTCCAAATATATAATTCCTGAAGAACTGACTGGCTTAGTATATTGCTGAAAGATTGGTATTTCAAAGGGTAGTTTGGGAACTTGCTGTCAGATCCCAGTGCAACTCACTCTATTAACTTCATCACATTTTACCAACTAAGCCTTCCAAGCACCTTCTTCTGCACTGATTGGCAGAAGAACCTCCATTTCTCATCATCGAGTTTATCCTAACTCTTTCACTTTCCAGGCTTGGAACTAGCAATTCAAGCAGCAACTGACAAAACACCTCTCAGGTCTGAGAAAGAAAGCTTCAGATTAAAATTCAGAATCACCAATCTTCCATACTCCCCAGAACTGCAGGACTCCAGGTCACAGATGTACCAAGAGAACAAAGAGAAAATTGAGAAAGAGGTAAGTTAACAGCAATAGCTTGGAATGATTTCCCTGTCCAAATTAAAGATGCATTAAATTTACTCATTTTTCTCAACTGTTCTGTTTCTTCCCATCAGCTCAATGTATTCAGAAATAGTAGCATGAAGAACTACTTTGCTGGCTGTACCGTGGAGAGTTTTGGGTATGACCTACTTTGGAAGCGTTTACGTTTCATTAGAAAGAGTATTTAAGCAGAAATGGCATTCAGAGCCACAGCCATGGTGCTTATGCCTCGTTGCCAATATTTGTGCTCTTGATGACATATAAAATACACTCATTCTCTCATTTGGCTTATTCAAATAAGCTAAAAATTAAACATATTCACAAATATGTCATGATAACTGACTGCCCTGAGATCTACTTTATCTTCTCCACCATCCCTTTGGAGGAACAAACAAACAAACAAAAAGATGAGCTGATTTCTCTTAGAAATGCCTGGGATTGAGACACTGGGTGTATTTCACAGGCCAGGGAGGTGGTGGGGTCACTGTCCCTGGAGCTGTTCAGAAACATGGAGATGTGGCACTGAGGGACATGGGCAGAGGGCATGGTGGGATGGGTTGGGGTTGGACTGGATGACCTTAGAGGTCTTTTCCAACCTGAACAATTTGATGATTCCAAGGCTATACAAATGCCTTTCTCACCCAGCTGACACTACAAAAAAACTGAGCTATGATCATGAAACATTACATAGCTATTCGCAAGCACAAATCTGAGGCTGAATCCCTCTCCCTAATTCTACTCAGCTCTGTACTTCTTTCTTCTTGTCCCATAACAATGATTCTGGTTTTCATCCTCCAGGCCAGTCCATGGGAAACCTTACACAAGCATCACCTCTGTCTGCAAATTCACACATGATCCCTTCTTAAGGACTTTACAAAAGCAAGAGGTGTATGAAGAGCTGCAACGCTTGACAGATGGGTTCACCAAGCTGGGCCCCACCTATGAGCTGGATGAGCAGAGTTTAGTGGTTGAAGGCAAGTGCTCCCAAGATGACTTTGCAGGAACTTTTGTTACTTTTGTTTTTGTCACCTCTGTAGTGCTCTGTTTCTCAGCTGTCCCACCCTTTCTTTTCCAGATTACTCTTCGCTCTCAACAGCAGAACAAGACTCCAAAAGATCTGGTGAGTGTTTTTGTTTTTAGAGTGACTCACCCTAAAGCCACCAAACATTTGAGCTACAGTAAATCAGTATCACTTAGTTTGAATGGAATTAGGACCTATGGAAAAGCCCAAAAATCCAGGAGTCTTGGGAGGTGAGCACAGCCGTAGCTTCACTACCAACAGTAAACAGGAAAAAGAAGTACTCGGAAAAAATCGCTTTTCCTTTCACCATCAACAGCTAACTACAGTTAGTTTTGCTGGCACTGAGCCCTGTTTTCACCCTGGAGGGGTCCAGGAGACAAATTTTGTCTCTCTGTACACCCCTGAAACCATCTGAGGGCTCCACTGCTCCCTGAGTTGCATTTGAAGTTGTACCATCTTAGACGCTCATTCCATTGATCTGGGTTTTTGTACATCCTTGCCATTCTCAACACCACAAAGGCGTGTTTGTTCTGTGTCCAAGGAGGGCTAGATGCAGCCTTCTAGTGATTTTACCTCACCTGGTTGTACAGTACTTCTGAACTGCCTTGGGGCAAGATCTCTTTCTGTCCAAGGTAAAACAGCTACAAGTCCAAAAACAAAACAAAACAAAACAAAACTGATGTGCTCCTGTTTTGCCTCTGCAGAGCTTCAGTTCTGGGCAATAATCCTCATCTGCGTTTTTGCCCTGCTTGGGTTCATTCTCCTCCTGTTGTTATGCTTCCTGGTAAGTTGCCCTTTTGCTCTCATACCTCACTTCTGGCTATAAGAGAGTCCAGTGATCTGAGCTGCTGCAGGAGGGACTGTCAGACAGCCACAGGAAGCATGGTGGGAGCACAGCCACAGCAAACCCCATGCCAAATCCTACTCCAGTTACTGTCTGGTTTCTCAAATTTGTGCACATGAGCATGGGGAAGGATATTTATAGCTTGCTAAACTGGTCTCTAGTGAAGGAGGCAGTAGATCACAAATGAGATCCAGAGTATTTTGCAGGAAAAAAAAAAAAAAAAAAAAGTGCAAGCAGGTTGAATAGAAAATCTCCTACAAAACCCCTCTTCAACCTCAATCCTGTTCAGAATAATCAAGATACTGATAGAGGAATATAGAAAAAATTACCTATAGGTAATCAGATCCAGAATTTTGTTCTCAATGCTCTTAACACAGCGTGTAGCAGCACCGTTGGATTGCATTCCAGCTGCATCCCTTAGGAAACTGCAGAGAAGATCCTTTTTGCTCACTGATACTTATTTAATAGGAGACACTCTCTTAATAGTACAGTTTCATCAGCAGCTGTGTTTGTTTTGCTCAGTCTGCAGAGAACACGGATTCCTACCCTTGGAGGTTCAGGAGTAAAAATTAGTCAGCAGGATTGAGAAGAAAAAGCTCAGATTTAAAACTAGGGACTGTGTGGGCTTCTGCCTGTGCAGCCTTGGCAAGTGGCTCCTTCACCAAGTCCCTCCATCTGTCAGACAAAGGACATCTTATGGCAGGGTGGTTTGGGTCTGTTTAGTGAAATTTGCCTTTTTGCAAGCTTTTTTTTTTCCCCAATAACATTATTCCTTTTCCACCAGATTGTCTTTTGCCTAAGAAGAAAGTCAGATCTGTACCAGGTTCAGCAGGGCATGTACGGTGTGTTCTTCCCACATCTGGGCACAAAAATCCATTGACAGAACAGATGAAGTATTGTCTTCACAGACCTGTCATCCGTTCATGAAGGAAAAATGTTTACAAATACTAGAAAAATGTTTCTTTAATAAATTATGTTTAGCATTTTCTCTTGTCTTGGGGTAAATCTTTGCATTCTTACCACAATTATTTTCATACTATGGGAAATTGCCAACAACACAGTTTCATCCCAAACCAGAAAATGCATCTGTCCCATCAAGATCTCTGATTGAGCATCGCATAGTATAGGGCCTGATGTCACTTTTATGGACACTGGGACTTTTCCTGCCCTTACAACCACAGCAGTGCCCATGAGCTCAGAGCACCACAGCTTGCTGCAGAGCACAGAGGGAGGTGGTGCTGATCTCTAGGTAATTATTCAATGCTATCATTAGACTCTGTGCTGAAAGTGAAAGCACTAGAGTTAATGAAACCACGATTAGTCATTAATCCTTCCACTGCAGGCAAGGTTTCCATGCAAACTGCCTTTTTACTTTCAAAGCAAACCTCCTCAGGGCAGGTTGGACCGGTTTACCTCCCAGGTCAGGTTCCTCACTGCAGAGCAGAGCCTGAGGAATAGAAACCTTTTTGCTTGATCAAACAAAGGTTTTCAAGCACCCAGGATTATGTCAGCATCACCAGCTTAAAAGCTTTCTGCAGCAGCTTGTGAAAGACTTTGCAGGTTTCTGTGCCACCCACATGTGACAGCAGCCGCGATAGCAAAGCTGTGAGCAAAGGACTTTCCAGCTCCAGCTTTGAAGGCTCTATCCCACATCTTCCCCACATCCCATGTCCCTGCCGTGCCTGAGCACCCCCCTCCCTCTCACCCAAGGAGGTGCAAGGGAAGCAAACAGTGGGACAGCGCAGGGTGCAGAGATGTGACAGCCAGCACGCACCACACTGCTGTTTTGTAGAGCCAATTCCTAGAGGTGCTGAGTTTTCTTTTTTTAAATGCTGTGCCCACAGAGCAGAGCTGCTGCACTGCTGTGAGCTGTGCCACCTCCTGCTCCTCTCCCAGGGCTTTGCCGAGACCAGGAGCAGCTGGCACTTGTCTTAGAGAACACATCAGCAGCCCCTGTGCTGGCACTGCTGCCCCATGCAGCCACTGGGACAAAACCTTGCATTGTCCCCATGGAGCTCCTGGCAGCACCCTGGGACCAGTACAGACCTGAGAGCACTGGGACAAACTTTCCTGTACCACAGCAAGTTACAAACACTGATGTAATTCAGAAAAACCTTAGTTTAGATGCAGCATAGCAGCACTTAACACTCTCTGACCTATTTGAGGGCACTCCAGAAAGCCAAGAAATCATCCCAGCAATACCATGCTACTCCATTTCCTGAGGTGTTGCTGCAGACATGTCCTCTGCAGAAGGAGCCACTGCTGGACATGTCAAGCATTCCCCTCTCCCTGGCTCAGCCACCAGTGCTCCCTGGAAAACCAGGGCATGCATCATACATCCAACCTTACTAACTTCTGCCACCATGGGCAGAGCATCCAAACCCAGTCCTGCCAGTCTCCTCCACCCAGCCCCTAAAAGCTATGCTGCAGTTAACAAAGCTGAAGTACACTTAAGGAGCACCAAGGCAGCCAAGGGCATTTGATACCAGTCCAGATACCTTACTGAAGAGCTGCAGAAAGGAAGCTAAGAGAGCAGCAGCAGCTTGAGCATGCCATGGGGATGGCTGATACCCTCTGTGGACCTGCTTCCTAAGAGGAAGTGACCTGCACACACCATGGCACTGCTGAGCATCCCTGCATGATGTCACAATGCTCTCCCTGTTTTGCTTGGACCTGTGCCTACATTTGCTATGGAGCTGTGGTTCACAACCAGAGCCCACAGCAGCTCATAGTGACACAGGCAGCCCAGCCCTGGCCATGACCTGGCCTCAGGCACTGCACAGTTCCTGGAATGGGGCACCACCCGTTCCCTGTGGTGGGGATTAGTCTGCAGGGCCCCAGCTGAGCAGCAGGGTCATGCCCTAGGCCAGCCTCAGCTCCTTTCCTCCCAGCAACATCTTTGCCCCCTACTGTCCCATTCCTGCATTGTGCAAATGCCATTCCTCTGCATTTCTGTCCTCACGTTCATCCTAACTCCATGGAAGATCCACATTCTCTCTTTCTCTATTATGTTCCATCCAGACCTCACCAACACTGCCCTGGTAACTGCTGCTCCATAACAGACAGTGCATCAGCTTCAGACAAGGAACTACAATGACAGAAGATTCATCTGCTTCTCCTTGCTTTTCTCAGCAACTCTTCTTCACTTGTGCCCTCATATACAAAAATATTCTGCTGGCTATGGAAACAGTCACCAGAAAGTCATTTGGGTATCACCCAGGCTCCTCTCTAACCTCCCATCCCCAGCTCTCCTCATGTAATGTTCCCACCCTTCTTGGTCCTCAATGGAGACAAGAACTCAGTTTCCCCAAGCCACCCCAGCCACTGCCATATCCAGACCACCTGCCCTGCACACAGGTAGCATCTGACTCTAGGTTGGCTTTATCTTTCTTGCTCATCCCCTTCATTGCTTCGCTGCTAATTGTCCCTCATCATCCTTTTCCCCCACCCTGCTCCATGAGATTCCATGAGCTTGGTGCAGACAAAATGAGAAACATCAGCACCACCAGCACTGAATGGCGCTGCTCCAACCTTCCCTCAAGAAACAAACTCACACTTCCCTCCAAGCCACTGCTGGATCTGGTTCCTCTTTGCTTTGCAAGGCCCACCTGTTCCTATCCAGCAAAACCCACTAGCTTTAGGGGGCAGCAAGAGAAAGAAAATGAGGAAACCATTCTCACATTGCAGCTTTCTCACACTGCAGTTTGGTCAATACAGCAGCATGAGGAGGAGCATTGATGCAATGCAACTTTTCATCAGCTCTCATGCCCACAGTGCAGCTCCACTGTGGGCCTTCTGTGAGTGCTGAGCCCTGCAGGAAGCACAGGGCTGCTTTCCTTGGGTATGTATAAGCACAAAGACTCATGGAGCTGTTTTCCTTCTGCGTGTGTAACCACAAAGCTGCTGCTCTGGTCACACTGTACCGCAAGGGATGCCCCCAGACACTGGTTTCTGGCCAAGCAGCACTAAAGAAACAGCAGAGCAAGCTCTAGAGCAGACCACAACCCCTCCCCAAAACACACATACCGGTGTAAACTGGCGATGGGCATCATCCTCATTTTGTCCCCCCACTCCTGCCAGAAAGTAGCCAGTACCTTCAGATGCCATGCATGGTACTCTCCCCTGCTGCCACAGCTCAGCCTGGATGATGTCACAGTACCCTCCAGCATGTCACAGTTTGGCAGATTCTGCCCAAGCCCACTCAGGGGAATTTACTGCCCAGCTCTGTTTCCTAGGCAATGTTCTGAGATGGAGAGGCCACAGGAAGGTGGGATGGGGCCTTCCCAAGATGGGGACTCTCTACAGACAGAGAACTATTCCTCAATCTTTATACTCCATCAGTGCCACCCAGATGAGCTGGAGCTAGACTCTGTCAGCAGCTTCTCCTCCAGTACTGTCAACTGCTCCAGCAGCGAGGGCCCAAGCATGGGTCCAATTGTGATTGATATGGGCACAAGGAGCTGCAGAGCAGGGTTTTCTGGATACCATTCCCCCAGCGCTGAGGTCAGCACCCTGGTGGGCCACCGTATGAGCTCAGAAGAAGCCAGGGCTAGGGTGGTTATTGGAGAGGAGGCATTGCTGTACCCTGACACTAAAACCACAGAGGTGATGCACAATGGCTTCATCATTAACTGGGAGGCAGCTGAAAGCCTATGGAAGTACCTCCTTGAACATGAGCTCCGGGTGAACCCTGAGGACCACGCGCTGCTCCTCACAGAGCCACTGTTCAGCCCCACCAGCAGCCGGGAGAACATGGCAGAGGTGGCTTTCGAGGTGCTGGGCACTCCGGGTCTCTTTGTTGCCCCTCAGTCAGTCCTCTCTGCTTACGCACATGGCAAGATCAGTGCTCTGGTGCTGGATATGGGCCACGAGGCCACCCGTGTCGTACCGGTGCTGGAAGGCAGGAGCATGGCATGCAACTCCAATCAGACAGACGTGGCAGGACGGTGCCTTACATGGTATCTTTCAACTCTTCTGGAGGACATGGGGCAAGTGCTCAGCGAGGGGATGACCCACATGGTGGAGGGCATCAAGCATGCATGCTGCTACATTGCTGATGACTTCCAAAGCGAGTGTCTCCTCCCACCCAGCTCCCACACCATGGATATTTCCCTGCCCAATGGGATGACACTTACCCTCAGCAAGGAGCGCTTCCAGTGCCCAGAGGTGCTCTTCAACCCTCCGTCCAGCTGGGGAGACTCCTTCGTGAGCATCCAGGTTGGATATTAGGAAGAACTTCTTCTCAAAATAGCACTCAGACGTTGGCACTGTCAGCCCAGAAGGGTGGTGGGGTCACCTTCCATTGAGGTGTTTAAGAAAAGGGTAGATGTAGCATTTAGGGTCATGCTTTAGTGGGCAATATTAGTGATAGGTGGGTGGTTGGATTTTAGAGGTCTTTTCCAACCTTTATGATTTTACGATCCAGGAGACAGTGCAGAAGAGCGTTGCGCAGCTCCCAGAGGAAATCACACCCACTATGTGTGCCAATATTGTCCTGTGTGGGGGCTCCTCGCTCTTCAAAGGGCTACAGAAGAGGTTGTGCAATGAGCTCCTGGGTCACCTGCCATTCAGCACTACTATGAAGGTGGGGGGCTCAGAGCTGCGGCGACATGCAGCGTGGACAGGGGGATCCATCCTCGCCTCACTCTGCAACTTCCAGTCATGTTGGATCCGCCGTGATGAGTACTATGAGGTAGGGCCACACATCGTCCACCAGAAATACTTCTGAAATGACACCCCAAAGCCAGCAAGAAACATTGGTGCAGTTTTATCACAGCTACAGACTGAGCAATAATAAATAATTTTGTACCACCTGATTACAGTCACCTTCCAGCCCCACATGGTCCCAGCTGAGGGCTGTTAGGGTAAAAGCACAGACTCAGCTGCAGGTGCTGCTCAGCACACACACCACAGCACAAGCAGCAGCCCCATGGGAAGGCATCAAACCCTTCCCAGAACCCCTTATTCTCCCATCCCTGCTCACTGCCTGCCATCCCCATGTCATAGCCGTGCACCTCACGCTGTCCATTGGGGTCCCACAGCAGATCGGGTTCCTCTGCTATCAAGGAGGTGATTTGCACAAGAGCTCTGCAGCCACAGCCTCGGCACCAAGCAGAAGCCACCTGTTTCCCTCACACACAGTTGCAGCCTTTGCTGTCACTTGGGGCCATGAAAAGCCATTAGCACTTATATAATACAAAATTAAATGAACCAACCAAACCACCCAAATGCACTCGTGCTCAGAGCTGCCCAATAGGGCAGAAACCAAAGCCAAAACCCACAGTGCCTCCCTCCTAAACTACCCCAGTGATTTTTCCTACCTGGACCACATGGCCTGCAATTGGACTGTTGGGGGCAGAGGGGAATGGGAAGACACAGAGAAGAAATGCTAGCTCCCACCCTTACTCTCAATTTGGGTGAAATTTTTCCCCTTGCCTGCTTTTATAGGGCTGAGGGTTCCAAGTCACAGCTGCAGCTCCCACTCCATCACCACAAGCTGGGAGCCAGGAGCAGCCCCCCTTCTCCCTGCTCTCCCACCATGCCTAAGGGGCTGCTTCTTTCCTCGTGACTTTGTCCCCAGCTGTGGACACCAATGCTGCAGTGAGGATCAGAAGCCACAGAAAAGATTACAAATACTAACAAGTTCAGCACCAATCCTTCCTTAGGCAGCGCCTGAGAGAAATCATGCTAAATTTAACTAGATTGCATGAAACTCCCCAGGTCTTTGGAAGCTGACACAGGATTTGGTGCCAGTTTTTAAGCTGGTGGTAGTTTCCTATTGCCCCAGGCCATGGGACAAACCCAGTCTGATCTCATTGTTACCCCGTGGCTCTTTGGGGCTGCTTGTTCTGCATCAAGCTGTGGGAGGGGTGTGGGATGCTGCAGGAGGAATGCTGCAAGGACTCAGGAGAGATGCTGCAGGGACACAGTGAGGATGGCTCAGGGATGCTGCAGGCACACACTGGGGACACAGGATCTTGCAGGGCACTTTCCCACGGCTTTCTGACAAGCAAAGAATATTTGGCTCTCGTGTTGACTCAAACTAACTACTTCATTTCCCCTGAAACTTTCCGGAGAAAACAAGTTCTTATCTCACTAGAAACCCAGGCCACAGATGCCAGGTGCCTGGGAGGAGTGAGCAGCTCCTCTGAGCTGATAGCAGCACTCCTGCCCCAGCAGGGATGGGCTTCAGGATGGGGCTGAACCCTCAGGCAGTGTGTGTGCATTGTTAGCCCTGTGCAGCTGCAAACTCCACTCCCATGTGTGCGCTGCAGATTTGTCCCCTGTGAGCTGAAAGGAGAAACACAGAGCACCCCAGCATCAGTTAAATGCCAAATTCTTGACTTTCTGCCTGTAACATTTTTCTGCTAAAGGCTTAAAAGAGGAACAGCACTCTAATTCTGACTCTGACATTGAGCACAGCCCTCAGAGTGAACCATAGAATGGCCTGGGTTGAAAAGATCCATAATGATCATCTACTTTCAACACCCCTGCCACAGGGTCTGGCCAGAGTCTGGCCCTGAATGCATCCAGGGATGTGGGCATCCACCTCCTTGGGCAACCATGGCACATGCATAGCATAGTATCTCGATGGTGCCAGCAGCCCTTGGTCACCCATTTAGTGACCTAAAGTGAATATGCAGTGAATGAGCCCCACAGATCCCCACACACCTTCAGCAGAGCGTGAAGCCCCCCCAACCATGCATCTCAGAGAGGTGAGATGGTAAGGTACAATGGTAAGATTTTGAGGTTAGTCAAAATGTTGTGGTAAATTAGTGGAAAGTATTTTTCTGCCTTAATCTTCCTTCTGATGCAGTGCCCAGGTTTTTCTACTGTATTAAAGAAAGGCACTGAGCGTGGGAGGTGTGAACTAATGCTACCGCACTGGGAAGGTGGTGACAACCCAAGATCTCAAAAGGATGTTCATCAGACTCCCTGTTTTAACTGTGTGAACGAGTAAAGTGGAAAAAAAAGGGAAATTATTGGTCTTTTAGAAAGAAAAACAAACCAAATAGCTGCCAGACAACCTTGTCAGCAACTGCTATTTAAGAGCACAGACATTTGCTCATCTCTGCCCGGAGCAAGTATTAACCTTTACACACGGCCTTTGCTCTCTGTTCCCTTTCACTCTGTGTTCCCTCTGCCTCAGCAGAGCCATTGCTTGCTGACGCATTGCAATGCTTTGGTGGTGGGAACATTCCCCAGCAGCAAAACCTCCCTGTGAGTCACACACAGGGCTGCCCCGTGCCCAGGAAGGATTTTCCCAAATACTGGAGGTGATGAGGTGTCCTCATGTAGCCCAAAGCATCTCAGGCTCACCGGTGCTCGTGCTGCAGCTGGCTCTAACATCCCCCAAATCATATCTTCATCCTTCATCTGCGCTGCCTGGTGTTTGGAGGTCAGAGTGTGCTCAGTGGGCTGAGCTGTGCAGTGCTTTGCTGAGGCACAGAGGGAGCTCTGGGACCCACCAGCACTTCCCAAGGGAGGGCAGGGGCGAAGGGGTCTGAGACAGCCCACACTTCCAGCATTGCCTCCACCCATGGGACCCTGGAGCTGCCCTAGCAATAATGCTCCCTATTCCTCACTTCTTTAAGAGCTGAATAAAAAAGGTTACTACAGACCTAAATGACTTAAACCTTACTCTTAGCGTATCTGCATTTCATACTCCTTAAAAGGACAAAGCATTAACATTTTCCCTCCAAATCCAGCTCAGGGTGACCAAGAAACCACATCTAGTTTACTGAATCAGCACTGTTTGGTGTAGGAAATAGAATGGGATCAATAAGAGCTTTTCCACCTCGATGGTATCTTCTGATCCCTTCCGTAGGAGTGACCCCCAGCAGCCAGTGTAACCACTTCCATGCTTTGTGAGTCACCACCAAACATTTTGGGTTTGTAGATGTGAAAACCAAACGCAAGTGTTAAACTTTACAGGGTCCCTCTCTGCCTGGGTAGCACCCCCCTCTCACCATGGGTGCAAAAGGCAGCGCAGCAGCAAAACTTTATGGCCAGACATCCAAAAAGCTGAGAGCTGTAGGACCAAAGCAGCTCTTGCAGGTTGACCCCTGCACAGCAGTAACCTTTCCAGATGTGTGCCAGATGTGGCGATGGTGTGAACAAGATGTGGACAGCTTCCAGGTTTAGCTTAACACAGATCTGAGCACTGGGGGAGATTTGGGGGATTTTATCCTCCCCTCCAAAAAAAAAAAAAAAAAAAAAAGGCATTTCAAGGAGTTCTGTGAGAGTTTGCTCACACTTTAGCCCAAGCTAATAGATGCAGTTATCACTGAGCAAAGCTTTTTTGGTAGAATGCAGCAGGAATAGAGAAAACAGAACTGCTGTGGCTCTGGGCAGCAGAGCTGGAGGAAAGCAGTGGTGCTGGGAAATGCAGTCCTGGGACACAAATCAGGAGGATTTGGGATGAAGCTTGAATTCGGGCACAGGTTTGTGCTAGTTGCTCATTTATCCACACCCAGCCTTTCCACAGCAGAATTGCTAAGACTAAAATAAATAAAAATAGAGTCAGTCAAGCTTTATTCATCCTAGAGTGTTGCTGTTTGAGTAGTTTGTGTCTTTGAGGTTGTGGAGTTGTCAAACCTCCCCAGTCCCCTCTGATGTTTTAGCACACTTATCAGGTATGAGTAAAGCTATGTGCGAGAAATGAAAGGTTGTGGTCTTCAGAAGAACTGGTATCAGAAAGGCAGCCTAAAGATGAATAGCTTAGTGTGTTCACACTTCTTCTGTTGCGTATATTACACTGTATTCACGGGGCAATGTATGGGTTGTACTTTCTTTTTCTCTTTTTTCTTCTTTTCCTGCGTATTTGATCACGCATTTGAAAGACTGCGGTGCTGATAAGAGAAAGATAGGAGCTGGGAGGGAGCAGAGTAAACACAGATTCCCTGCACACACAGGATGCCTGTTTAATTATCACTTCATCTGAGCACAACTGCGCACAAACAAGGACGTTTGTTTGGCAATGGGAAGTTGCACAGCGGATCCTCAAGCGTTTTGCATTAAAACGGAGCTAAATCCCAGCACTGCCTTATTTCTGACCTGCCTTCAGAGTCAGCTCTGCTGTTGGTGAGAACAGCTAGATATGAGCATAAGGACAACTCCTACCTGGGGTAGGCTCTTCAGCAGGAAAAAAAATAGAGATACAATCCAGGCAGCTCAGAGGACAGCCCACAGCTCACTTCAGAAGCAGATTTTGTGTGGCTGATAAGACCAGCGAGAAATAAGGAACAGAAGCACTGTGGTCACTGAAATCTATTGCCACACAATCCTTTTGAACAGGAAACAATAAAACCCAGCTCTAAACCCAGTGTCCAGAACCAGAAACTCACCACAATTGTGAGAGCATCCCTAGGAAGGCACTGGAGTGATATGGGATCCAAACACCACCGTTCTCAAGCATCCTCACCCTGCAGACAGCCCCCGAGCTCTGATCCGCCCCTGACCAGCAGTTACAAAGGCACTGAGCCTTCTGCAATCCTCAGGATTGCAGATCAGCTGCAACTGAAGCTACTGCCACCAATACTGCCAACATGACCTGGCATTACGGATGGTGGAATTGCCTGCCAGCAACACCTCCGTTTTTTTCTTTCCCATATAAGGACTTGTTCTCTTATTTAGAAATGACTCCCTGGGACTAACATGGAATTAAGTCAGAAGAATACTCTTGGATGGAGTTGGAGTTGGGATCGGGGTCGGGGTTGGGAATGGGGATGGGAGATGGAGTTGACATTTGAGTCTGAGCTGCCCATGGCAGGGGTCATGATGCAGAGCAGGGAGCAGCTCCTTCTGCAGATGGCTAACGCTGATAGTTCTGTATGTTATCAAATTTTCCTTTCTGTTTCTTTTATAATAACGGAAATACGACCAAGATTAAATTAAAAATGTATTTTCAAAAAGGTGTTGCCCATACAGGCACACTCAGAGCTACACAATGTGCCAGACAGTGATGAATTCTGAATGCTGGGTTTGTTTCCAGAAGTCATTGCTAACTTTTCCTACCTCAGTAATGATTCAGTTTTTTGTCCTAAGCTAAAGGTCATCATTAACTCATACTCTTAAGGGAAGGCTCTGTAATCATCGCTCCATCTACCACTGCAAAGGTGTGAAAAATGTTGCCTGAAATGCATGGCGACAGCACCTATGCCTCCCCCAAAAAAAGACAGAATAGATTTTTGAAGAGGTATGGCAAGACTGTAGGGCTGTGATCTCTTATGGCAAGTGGACAATACTTGTAACAGACCCTGCAGAAACTTACTATTTCTTTTCCTTTGCTGCCCAAACCCGATTTTAAAATTGGGACCCACACCCAGTTTTAGCCATAAAGCCTCTCTGCAATCTCCAGCTCTGATTTCCGAACCTTTGTAATTTAGAGAGTTTGAGTCAGCTCCAAATTTGCTGTTATGGAACTGAACCAGTGGATGCACCAGTGGGTGCTCTGCCTCCTTCCTATGCACCCAAAGTCCAGAAAACCTGAAACATTTCCCTTGCCTTCTCTTCAGGCACATATAGTGCTGCTTTCTTTTGTAAATCTCGTCTCTGTGTTTATCTAGCTTGAAAATGACGTGAAATTACCTTGTATCAAAGGCTGGTTAATGAATTAATTTTTATGTTGGAGTAGAAGCAGAATAGACCAGTTCCATTCCAGGCAAGCACTGCAGTTTTCATTATCTGAAACAATTAGTACAATAATGGCTATTCTTTGAGGGCACTGTCAAATGTGTTTTGGGGATGGGATAAAAGACGGAGAGGGCTGGATCTCTTTGGGTACCAGTGGGACAAGGCAGCAAATGGGAAATGGAGGGAGTGGGAATGTTTTCTCCTCCTGCAGCCCCAGAGGGGAGAAGAAGCAAATACAGAAGATGAGAAGCAGTGGAGAAGTGGCTGCAAGCAACAGTGGGAAGTGGTTGAGAGGAGATGGGTGTGGGGTGCTTGGAGCCATGCAAGAGCAGGGGGAGATGATTCCTCTAGCCAAGTAATGCCAAAGCCACTTTCTTGCTGTGGGCTGTTCTCAGGGGAAGAGAGGATGGGGGGATAGTACAGGAAATCAACACACTTGTGGTTTCTTTTAATCTGCAAGTATCACTGTGTCAAGTTTCGCACCTGAAGAGCATTTGCAGCGCTCTGGTTTCCCTCCATGCCAGAAGGCACAGTAGCACTGTGTCCACTGCTGTGCAGCCGACCTCGGGGCTCTGACCTCAGCGGCTGAAGGTGAGAAGACCTGAGCTCCTCACACTGACCAGAGCACAAAGAGCACACTGGGCTGCTGCTGAACCAGCCCTGCCAACAGCAGATTGACTGTGCATCAGTTACAGGACTCTGAGTGGAGGGCTGTGGGCTCTGCTGTGAGCATGCAGCTAAGGACGGAAGGAAAAGGGTTGGGGTATTGTAAAGGTATGTGCCCTGCAACCTGGTTCATTCTTGCCCTTCATCACAGCTACCTGTGCTCCTTCTGTGCAGGACTTTCCTCTGGGGATATCTGTCCTGGTAGTTGTTCCCAGAGGGGGCAGCTCCCCAAATGTCTGGCCAATACACTTTACACCACTTCTGGAAACAGATTTTTATTAGGCACACTGTGCTGATACACCTCAGCAATCCAGATCCCACTGCGTGTGTTTAACATTACAAGATCACAGATGGTTGGGGTTGACAGAGACTTCTGGCTCCATCTAATCCATCCCCTGCTCCAGCAGGGACACCCAGAGCAAAGTGCCCAGGATTGTGTCCAGGTTGTGTCCAAAGGAGACCCAACAGCCTCCCTGGGCAACCTATTGCTTTGGAACCTGCACAGAAGTGCTTCTTGATGTTCAGAAAGGAACTCTGTGTTCCAAGTGAAAAGAGGTTGGCTGCTTTCTTTGCATCTTCCCTGCAGTGATAGGATGAGAGGTAATGGCTTTAAGTTGCACCAGGAGAGGTTCAGGTTGGATATTAGGAAAAACTTATTTTCAGAAGGAGTGGTGATGCATTGGCACTGACTGTCAGGGAAGTGGTGGGGTCACTGTCCCTGGAGGTGTTTGAGAACCGTGGAGATGTGGCACTGAGGAACATGGTCAGAGGGCATGGTGGGATGGGCTGGGGTCGGGCTTGGGGATCTGAGAGGTCTTTTCCAACCTTAGTGATTCCGTGATTCTATGACGCAGACATTTAGAAACATTGATCAGATCACCCTCAGCTGAATCCCCTCTTTTCCAGGCTGAACATTCCCAGCCACTCCCAGCAATAAGGGCCCTCAGTTCTGAGCCAACGTGAGGGATTTTTACACCCCATTTCACGTATCATTGTTCTTCTTTTTACGCTCTTCTCATTGGTGCATTTATTCATTATCTATAAAATGCTTTCTAGAAAAATGCTTGACAATTGTCCTCATCCCACAGATGTTTCAGTGAGAACAGTGTGCCACACAGCGGTTTTATTTTGTAAGTAATTAATTTCAAAATAAGAAAATGGATTGGAAAATTCATCTAAAGTTAATAGAATGTTTTATAAAAGCAATTTTCAAATACGGAAGTATTATTTCTGAAAATGCCTTATTTACACGGAAAGAAGTAGGATGAAGATAAAAAGTTTCACTTTTCAGTGAAACAAAAAATAATAATAGTCCTCCAAAATAGCTGTTATGAAAATAAATGGAAATAAATGTATCTTATGGACCACGCTGTCTCCAGTCAAAGAGAAAAAGAGTTCATTCCCTCTGAAGATAAATTACGACAAAGTAAGGATGAAATGGACCAGGTTCTGCTCTCAGTTCATGCCAGTGTGAATCTGCTGCCTTCTTATTGCTATTCCTTTTTCTTGCTCCAGACAGCTGGAGGGTATGAAACTCTTTCCATCCACAATTTCCAGTGTTAAACAATTAGATTTCCATCCCTGTTTGTGAAGATGGAGGTGATGACAAAGCAAAGGGAATTAAAATGGTGGTCACACCCAGCAGCTGTAGCAGTGGTGTGGAGCCACTATTGTGTTTCATGGTGTGGACACCACCTCTTTGCCTCTTCCTGCCCCTCATCCCTTCACACTTCAAGGTTGGATGGGATCCTGAGCAGCCTGATCTGGTGGGGGGCACCCAGCCCACAGCTGGGTCTTGGAACGAGATGATCTTTAAGATCCCCTCCAACCCATTCTGTGATGCTATGAAGTTTTTGTTTGGTTGGCAAGTAGAGCAACCAGGTGAAACTGAAGCTTACCAGCAGCCATGGGGTCTGGCAGGTCCATCGCAGCAAGACTGACATCATGGCCAACTGCAGTTGTGCTGTAGTGATGCAGCCCAGCCCTATAACTTCCCTCAGCATTTATGCCAAAGAGAAAAAATTACTTCCTTCTTTAAAGACATTTCCCTCCCACCCCTCCTTCCAAACACTTCATGTGATTGGAATATATCACGTCTGCTCCCAGAGAGGTTGTCTCTGCTTCCACAGAGGGATCCATGGTCACTGTCCTCCGAGGGCTTTGGTCTTAATCCGGAGTTTGTGAGGCAGAGCTGAAGAGCTTCGGCCCTTTGTGTGATCTTCTGAAGGGGAGGGCAAGCTACATGGGGGTGGAGGAGAAGTTTTGGGCACTTGCTGCTCATCATCTTCATCTGAGACAGTCGTGGTGCTTTCCTTGCTCATCTCTGCCAGACCAGGACAAGGGGATGAGAAGCAGGCACTGCCTGGGAAAGGCAAATGGAACACATGTTTGTCTGGGCAGTGGAAATCGAGGAAAGGAGAGCAAACTGTGGGTCTGAAGGCTGAATCGAGCCTCTTTGGTTGGTGAAGGCCAGGTGTGTCCATAGAAACTGGCTTTGAGTCACAGCCAAGGAAGTTTCTAGATGGGTTAAAGGCTTTGCATGAAAAGTCGGCCGGCTCCAGCACCTTCGGCACAAAGCTCTTTGTGAAGAGGCGGGAACCCCCAGCAAAGGGCTCTGCTTCAGGGAACGGCGAGAGCCCTTTGTGCCCTTGGAAATAAATCCCTAGGAAGTCCTGCAGGGAGCGGCCCTGCTGGGTGCTGGCATCGGGGCTGATGAGCCCAAAGCGCAGTTTGAGGGCCAGCAGCTCCGTCCTGAGGATGGCATTTTCCTCGCTGAGCGCGGCCAGCTGACTCTCCATGGCGAAGTCATTGAGTCGCCTCTTCTCCCGCGAGCGTTTGGCCGCCTCGTTGTTCTTGCGTCTCTTCTCCCAGTACATGTTGTCCTTCTTCTCATCTGGCATGAACTCCCGTTTGCGCCGGGAGGGTCCGCTCACTCTGCTGTGCAGGAACTTTGCTTTGCTGTGCTGAAGTGTGAGGTCGCCGATGGCGCTCAGCGGTGCCATGAAGTTGTCCATGGTTGTTGACGCAGCTCAGTTCTGCCAGAATTGAGACATAAAGCTGTTACCACTGAAGCTGCTGTTAATCGTTACATTAATAAACAATATGAAGGGGAAAAAAAGGAACAAATTAAGATAGCCATGTGATTTTTTTCCTACAATCACACCAGGAACACAGTTGACACATCCAAGTCTTCGAATCTCAACATTGCCTCAAAGACCATCATAGAATCATAGAGTCACAGAACCATTTGAGTTGGAAGGGAACCTGTAAGGCCATATGGTTCCACTCCCTGCAGTGAACACAGACACCCAAAGCTCCATCAGATCTCGTCCCCTGACCTTGGATGTCTCTACAGAGTACCCAAAAGTTGACTGAGAAGAGTTAAAGAGGAGACATTCTGCCAACCCTGTGCACAATCACAAGTACTTTGCCTGACTTAAATCAGGATAACAAAAGTTGCTTTCACATACTGTTTATCTCCCACTGATCTGAAACAGCCTTGCTTAGGAGATAAGTCTCATTGCCTCTTTCTCAGATAAAGAAGGCAAAGGGAACTGATTTACTTCAGTTACATACCTTAACAGATGAAATAGGATTACAACTCAAACACATCTACTCAGTCCTGGATTCTCCTAAAAACCACTGGTCTTACTTTATAAAGCTGGATTTGATGACGTTTGTGATTTTGGTAGGACAATCACAAGGAGTTATCACCACACATCTCCCTCTAAACTGCAAGCTTCCTGTATCATGTGGATCCTCCAGGAGATCAAATGGGCTGTGCTGATCAGGTGGGGATGTCTAGAAGTAAGCGCCTGCATGTGGTCCCTCTGACACCCTCTATGCAAAATATCTGCTGCTTATATTTATGGATATAAAGACCTCCAGTGTTGTTGTCTACTCTGCTTTCTGCACAGTGCAGAACTGCAAAATGGACAAATATGCATCTACAGACAAATCCACATTTATGTCTGACTTTGTTCAGCAGGACCAGAGCTCTTTGCTGGTTTAAATCAGGACAAGTTCCAGGAAAGTACGCTGTCCCAGTGTGATTTTGTAATTAAATTGTTTTAGTTTAGCTGTAACTCTTTGAGATCTCAAACCGTATGCGAAGATTCCAAGGGTAACTAAAGACCAAAACAAAGAATCTCCTTTCGCATGAATATGTTTGGGGTAACTCCTCTGGCTCTTGTTTAAATTGACTCCTGAGCTCAGAGCATCAAAGTGAGTGTGCCTGTGGTTACTGGCAGCGTCAAAAGGCAGAAATATGCTATTGTTGTAGGGCTTAATCACTTACCAGGAATTTTTCAAGTTAGTATTTGACGTGACTTCTTTGTTGAATGAGTCAAAGACGAACAGGTGGCTTTTTCACTGTGTAAATTCATCAGCTGCATCGGGCAAAGTAGTTTGTCTTCTCCTTGTCCACCTCTTGCTCCCAGTGCCTGTCATGAGGACACCCTATAAGAAGTTTCAAGATTGTGGTAACCAACAGACTCTAGTTAACGTAGCTGGGAAGAACATGAAATAAAAGGGACCCAAAAGAGATACGCATGAGACAGAACAAAAAAAGTAACAAAAAACCTGAGTTCTTCCTTCCAGCAAACAACCTCTTCTTCTCTTATCTCCACCCCAAGTAGCCTCTGATGAACTATACTTTCCAACAGGTTGTACAGAGCCCTCCAGCAAAATATATCTGACAGGAACTGCTTCACTGCAGATGTACGAGGTGATACACACTTCTCTTTAAATAAAACACACTGCCTCATCAAACAGTGGTGAATCTGTTGTGTTGTTTTTTGGGTTTTTTTTTGTGTTTGATCATAATTTGGGGTACTCAAGTTAGATTATTCTTCTTCCCAAGGATGCAATAAAATCAGAATAGTGCCAGTAAAAGGCAACTGGAACAGGCATAGATTTATTTCTGTATACGGAAAGGCTAACTCATTATTTCTCAAGAATAAAGGACATGCACTGGAGTTATTGGGCAGTGGATTACAAAGAAAGAGAAGGAAGCACATCTTCGTGCAACGCAGCATTAAAATTTGTAGTTTTGTTGCCTTGGGATAGTGTGACCATCAAAAGCAAAAGATAGTACAAAAGATTGCACCAGGCTGATCTTTGGGCTGACTCCATCTAATTGTTCTTGGATAATGAAATATTGGGTGAATTCAAGTACGACATAAATCAATGGAATGGCTTGGGCTGGAAGGGATCTTGAAGATTGTCTACTTTTAACACCTCTGCTGTGGGCAGTTTTGCCAACCACCTTATCAGGCAGCAGATCAGACTGCCCACGGCCCCCACATTTCCAGAGAGTGGGTGATAGAAGCTGTAAAACTGAACACTGCAGTGGATCACATATTTGTCTTGAATCAGAACAGAGAATGAATCGGATCACCTAAAATGCAAACATTTTAATAAAGTGAATGTCTATGTTTTGTTCTTTACAGTTCACTAATCTTTAATGTACAAATAGAAGCGTTACCACTTTTCATATCACCTCTCCTTCTATATGTTAAAGGCTTTTTCTTAAATCTTCACATCCACTCATTTCACCCCTACTTACATCACAAATTCATATCTACAAACACTAGTTCTACTTTTGAGCTGGATCTTGTTTTAAAACAGAGCCAGGAGGGCCATTTTTTAATCAAGAACACAAGAAGGCAAGATTTTTTAACCCACAGCACAAGAAAGGTGTGCAGCTGTTGGTGTGGATCCAGGGGAAGTTACAACGATGCTCAGAAGGTTGGAATCCCTCTGCTATCCTCTTCTATGGGGACAAGCTGAGGGTTGGGGCTGTACAGACTGATGAAAAGAAGGCTCCAGGAGACTTCAGCGTGGCCTTTCAGTACTTAAAAGAAGCTATCAGGAGACGGACTTTTTACATGGACAAGGGGAAATGGTTTTAAACAAAAAGATTTAGATTAGATGCTAGGGGGAACAAAAGGAAGAAAGCTTCCAACTACTTTAAAAAACAAAACAAAACAAAACAAAACAAAACAAAAAACACAATTCTATTATTCCATTATCCCATTATTCCATTTCACTCCAGTGTCAATTTCTGGATCAAACTTTCATTTCCAGCTTCCTTTCTGTACTCAGTGCAGCACCCATCTACGTATGAGACAATCCAAGGAGATATCACTGGTGTCTGACTTCACCATAGTCAAACTGGCAGCAGAATTTAAGACTGAAAGAGTTTAAATCAGCACAGAGGTTGAGCCAAGCAACCCTTGCTTTATGCTGATGGAAATGAGGCAGGAGGTTGGAGCTCCATGATCTTTAAAGTCCCTTCTATCCTCAGCCATTCTATCATTTACCCAGTTTTACACTCCTCAATCACACCAGCTTAAACTAAATCAGATCTCAGCTACTAATCTCAAGCTCCTCAATACTTCAGTATCTAACCCACAGGAGTTATTCAGAATTTGCCCTGATAAAATGAGATAGTAGCAGCAAGCCCCAGCGAGCACGGTATGATTTACAGCAGAAACCTTTGCAAACTTCTCGCAGGAACATCATGCGGTACAAGCACTGCTAAGCACCTCAGTAAACATGCTTGTGTCCTCTCTGCTGCTCGGTCTGTGGTTTGGTAATATCTCACAGTGCTCTCTAAGCCTACTGGCCTATTTAAGGCGAAGGGCTATTATTCTAATCACGTTCTTGACTATTTCACATCCATGCTAAGGCAGCGGTTAGCAGCTGCTGCTGAGCAATATGCATTAATCTCTTTTTGTATTTCAATGGGAGATGGCGTGATCCTACAGCAGAAAGAAGGGAAAAAAGACAGGGAGAAAACCTATGGACCTACATTACTGAGCTCCAGGAAAACTGCTTCTGTGGTTCATACCAGTGGAAGAATAAATCTCGCTGGCAATGTGTTAAACTTACATTCAAAACAAAACTGACTCAGAAACGACGAGAATCTGCCAAAGTCACGTATTTGCTGCACATCTATTTTGAAAACACGCAAAAGATTGTTGACTCACATTGCCAAATGTTGCTGTAAGGCTGCCAACGTGTTGCGATGCCTCTATGTCTGTCAATGTGTTGCGATGCCTTTTCAGACAGAGCTTTAAAGTTGAGCATGTTCACTTTTTGGACCAGGTTTTCTAAAGGCTGGTTTCCACCACAGTTTTGCGTTCCACTGGGTTTTTGCTTGAAAACCAGACTGCAAGACCCTGCGAGGATTTCTTTTAAAACTTGTCCATGCCCTCTGAATCTGTACAGAAAGACTTGACTTTCAGGGGGCTGAAAGACAGATCCAACTTTTTGAATGCACTAAGATTCTAGATTAAATCGTTGCCTTAGGGGCTTAATCACAACAGGGTTTTTGTTAGGGTTGAATTGCAGTTTTCAGTCTTGGGGTGCAAGACATTTGAAACAACATGAACCTCCCCAGCCTCACCAGCAGAACTGCAGGTTCTTACAACTGTAAGCTGTACAAACCTCCTTCAATTCCTCCATATTTGTGATCAAAGCACTGTGCAGGCTGCACTGCCCACGGCAGCTAGCCTCAAAGCAACTCAGGTATTGCAAATCAACCTCAAAATTTTACCGTTTGTTGACAGTGGACTCTAAGACTGGAAATGCTTTGAAAATCTCTTAAAACCTCAAAGTTGCTGATGATTCTTTGCAAGCTACAGAGTTTTGCAGTTCTTGGTCTGCAGAACCCTCAGTGTGTGCTGCTGATGGATAAAGAATCTTCATGTGGTTTGCTCCATCCAGCTCTCCTCTGCTTCCAGGCACCTCCCCCTGTACACTGTGACTCAAGGTAGGACAGTGCATAAAAATATTCTTTTTCTCTGGGGAGAAATCACTTTAAAAAAAAAAAAAAAGAATCTATTTACTTCCTCAGCATTATTTTATGATATGGGTGGAAAGCATTGGATTTTTGGCAGATTATGCTGGATACACTTAGGTTTTTTTATAAACATTTTTCACTTGTCTTATTCCTTCAGTTCCAGCCCTACTGGGTAGACCCTGCCCCAGGATCACCTAAAGTCAGAATAGCTGAATTGTGCCCTTTTCTCTCACCATTTCTGCACTGCACAGTGCGGCACAGCACAGTGACCTCTGAGCTGTTTCATTTGGATGCAGTAATACTGCACAGGAGTTCCCCCAAGCTAACTCACTCCAACAAGATCAATTAGATCAATTAGCGTGGCCAGGCCACGCTTTCTAATGCAAGCTGTTTCCTGGCAGCACGTTCAAGACCAATGCACAAATTTGCAGGACCAGACCTCCTACTATATCAGATCAGTGACATTGCTTCTAGAACAAAAGGACATAAGATTATGCCATGCAAGAGCATAGACGACAGATATGAAGTTGTTAATTTTTGTGTGTGTATATTTTAGGTGGCAGCTTTTGTTCTTGTGCTACCAAGAAGGTAGAGCTGTGTTTCTCTTGGTGTGATGTAGGAGAAATCTTGTTCCACCGTTGGTTGGAGGTGGATGTCTGATCACAGTGCATGCACAGCTCTGCCTTGCTCTGCCTACCCAGGGATGGAAAATTCCATTGGGTTCATACAGAACCTGACCAAAAAAAAAAACAAAAATGCTGTCACAACAGTTTCTTTAAAAGTAAAGATCAATTCATGAAGATAAGCTCATCATTATCTGAAAGTTACCCCAGATGATACGGTGGTGCCTCATCAAAACGAAGAAATGAGAGGCGGATGAGACCAACAGGTAAGTCCCTTCCTCTCCGTGGCAAAGAATATCATTGCTGTGAAATCAATGAGGCCTGAGTGTGTTTTTAAAGCAAAGCATAGGCTGCGAGCTTCTCGTGAGACAAGGCAGAAATGCTGCCTTAAGTAAAGCTGCCATTAATTTTTGCAAATCTGTGGCTTTCAGTCTTGGAAATGAGAAGTCGAGAACCACCAGGAAACAATTCAGCACCTTTCTCATCTTTCCTAGATATTACCACCCAAAGTCAGTACCAAGGACATGTGAAAACCTCTTTTGAAAGACTGTGCACAACCATTTGCGAATGACAAAATCCCCCATCCTGCAGACACTGCAAAGACACCACTGTCACAGTTAATGACAATACTTAAGGAAGGAAATCAAATCAAGCCCTATTAAAAGCAACGTGCTGTCCCTAAGTTTCAAAATCCATTCGCTAACAAACAGCCATCAGAACAGAACACCTTCTACAGCTGATACTCTGACTCTTTTCTTTATCTTTTCACTCATCTGTTTCAAAAAGCCCATCGCTAAAGGCTTTCTTTTGGTCGGGAGAGTCTTCGGGACCTGCTTGATCGCCCATTCTCCTGTTCCTTGTGCACTCACATCAGCAGTTACAAAATATTCCTGAAATTCCAGTTAGAAAGCTGCTGCTGAGCCATGCAGACAGAGGCACACAGCACACAGAAAGCCCCCCGGGGTTCTGCTAACCCAGCAGTGCACTCATTGAGACCCCGGCCCTAAGAAACAGCTTTGCTATAAGTGAACAAACCACAGCTGAGCTCTCCCTGTCTTTTCCTGCTCCATCTCTACCACAAGCACCTCCAGGATGGAGGACCAATCGCAGCATCCCCTTTAAAACACTCCTAAATAAAACTCATCTCAGCGCTTACCCTTCTGTTTCAGAATGAGAAACAGAAACCATTCTCACAAAGTAAGAATCCGATCAGGAGCAGAGCACGGCGAGGAGCAGGTACTTCTGTGCACTGTGCCATCCCCATTGCTTTCTGGCAGGAAGACCCCCATCGTTTTGTTCTTCTGCAGTGGTTCCATCGCAGGATCTGATGATGCTCTCTAGAGACGCTCCTTTTGCTTTTTAGAGGAAGGAAGCCATCACTACTCGTTTGCCTTGAAGGCTGCCGGGCCTCCTGTGCTCTCTGAAGTGTGTGCAAAGGGCACCCACTGCAGAATGTGATCACATCTCTCATTCATTAACTGTTAATATCAAGATTTTCTGTCAGAGGTTTCCCTTTCACTCTGCTATCACAGGAAATAAATGAAACTTTTGAAGATGCTGCGAGGCAGAGTCATGCATCTGCCTGAGTTTCTATCACACACAGAACTGGTGAGAAAGCCACTGCTTCTCAAGACGAAACTCCTTATTTCGGTCCCAACTCATTGAGTTTCTCCGTTCCCAAAGCAACTTGGTGCTTATCAGTGCTTTATCAGATTCAAAATACATACTCCTGGGTAACTGAAGCGAAATGGTTACATAAATTCACCTGTTCCAGTCCTAGAAATAATATTTCTGGTTTAAAATGAATTGCTGCTGTTGAGTTCTGTCTGAAGCTATACTGAAGAGCACCTCCACAAATGCCGCGTGACCTATTCCAGATTCCACCCAGAGCAGCAGAAATCAGTACCCAAGGTTATAACATTGTTTTTACAGAAATCAGCAGTAGAAAAACATCATTTTTCCACGCCTTGAGTTATTCTTTGCACTATTACTACACACAGCTGGACACAGATTGCTGTACTCACCACCACCTTTGCTCTCGCCAGCAGTCCTTTGAGATCCCCAACTGCACTGGACCAGTCCTCACCTTCCCAAGCACCAGTAATGGGGACACTTCAATCCAAGCACCAGTGGTGGGGACGCTTCACCTCCAACCATCACAGCCACACCGACATGGCAGCAAAGCAAAAGCACACGTCAAGCCAAGACTACGTGATAACCGAGCCGGAAGGTGGAGGAGAGACCCAGAAACCAGAGGAAACGATGAGAGAAATTTAAAGGAGTGAGAAATCCAAGGAAATTTTTTTCAAATTTGGCTTTTAAGGAAAAATTACGTCCTGTTGTTTTTCAGATAAGTAAGGATACCTCAGGGCCACTGAAAGTCATGGAAGGTGAGAGAAAACGGTGCTTATCCCACTGTCAGTTTATTTATCCCACTATTTATTTATCTAATGACAGAACTTTTCAAATAATTTTACCAACACTCTTCAGAAACAGATCTTCAGTGTACCTTTGCCATTCATTTACCATTACCTTTTGTCTGCTAGCAGTAATGACTCCCTCGGTAGAACTACACTTTATGTTGCTTATATAAATAACCAAGAGATTATGAACAGCAGAATGAGGTTTGGCAGATTTGCAACATCCAGATAGATAGACATCTCTGGCCTATGTGGTGTCACTTGGTTTTACAACAAATACTGCCTTATTAACTTGCATTTTATATCTGCCATCTCGCTGCTTATGTAGAAGGGGAAATTTGGTCAATTCCACAGAATTCAGGATGGCGGTTTCGTTTTGTTTTGCATATCAGCTTTTCTCTCTAGAGGATTTTCTACTGCAGATCAACTTGTTATGACCATCAAGTACAAAAATAATACAGGTTTTTGCATGGGATGGAAAGCAAGGCCACAGCTACTGCTACCACAGCAACCTAAGAAAGTTCCAATGGGACATGATTTTGGGGGGCAAAAAAATGTCTGTGGATTCCTCCCTTCTGCCTATAGGGGAGGAATTGCCTTGTTTTAGAGTTCACAGGAACCCATTAAGAAAGGAGGCTTTATGGCACAGCCTTTGGTTTTGTGCTTGTAGGCTGTGCTGCGGTCTATCAGCACAAAACCAAAGCCCTTGGTAGAGATTTATGTACTGTTTTCAAGTGCTTCTAACACCAAATAAGGCCCTTGAAGTGGAATATGTGAACCCTGTAAGTTCATGACTATGACATTCATCCCGCTCTATTAATAATATGTTTTATCTTCTTCACTGTAACATTAAATTTTCACCACAGCAAAATAAGGACAGTGAATCCTGGGCAGTAAACGGGGGTTAAATATTCCCTTTCTTTGCATACAAGTGTCATGAGAAGTCAGCTTTAAAATTCAAAACCAAAACTACTTCGCCACACGCTTCAGAGATAACACAGTAATTTTATAACACCTTCCTCCAGGTACAATAAACATGCATCACCTGAAAACAGACTGCATATAATTTCAGGAGTTCATCTGGAATAGTTTTCTCTTTATTCCTGATTCAATTTGTTTCTGAAGGGGAAATCTGGAGAGGTAGAGGGGGAAATGACAACAACCCTTCCCCATCTTTGAAATGAGATGTAAAAGCTTTTTCAAAGCAAGAAAGGAAAAGGCTTGTTGCCAGAAGCTTTGTGAAGTGAAGAAACCACGTTAAAAGCTGAGCAATGGTAGAAGGAAAGTCTGACATAGTGTTAATGATTAATTATTTAAGCAGTTTTCAACATTTGAAATCATTTTCAATTTGGGATCATTTGAATTTTTGATCTTGGCTCTCAGTTCTTCTAACATGACCAGGGATGTACTGAAAGGCATACACATCAGTACCTTTCCCATACAGAGAAAGCAAAGGGAAGCCAATTACCCAGACTTTGAAATAAAGAATGAGATTTTCAGAACAGGTTTGCAGCTAGGGACTCTACATTTTTTAAAAGCTGGCCATAAGTGTCAAAGAAAGGTCAGGATGAGGAGGAAGAAGATGGAAGCAAAAGGTTTGAAACACTTAGAAACCAGCTGGAACAAAACTGGTGGATTCTCGACACTCAAGGTCAGGCTGGATGGGGCTCTGAGCCCTTCGGAGCTGTGGCTGTTCCTGTTCATTGCTGGGGAGTGGACAGAGTTAATGGTCCCTTCCAACTCCAACAATTCTATGATTCTAAGAAAACTGATTGTGTTGTCAGTGGTTTCACCAAAGCCAATTGGCCTCATCATCTCGACCAGCAAAGCAAACAGCAATACAGACAAACAGCTGGGTTCTCCTTTTGGCCAAGGAAGTCACCTCTCTACTACAGCTCCTCTGCAGAGATTATGTCTACCCCCTTCTTAGGAGC